TGCGGCCCGGGGGAGCCTCGCCTGCAGTAGCGGGGGCTGGGGCGACCCAGGAGCTGTAAGGGCAGCGTTAGGGGCCGGTGGTGGAGGGAGATGAGATACTCCTGCCGCGGCTGTGTGCTCACCGCTGGCAGCCAAGGTGCTGGGAAGCCGGGCACCTTCCCTGCTCAGAACAGAAAGTGCAGGATCGAGCCTCGACGCCTGTGCCAAAGCATTCAGAAACCCGAGGGGATGGGGTCACCCTGTCCTCACCCATGCAGTGCAGGTAAGATGCCTTAAAGTGCTCCTGGGCAAGGTTGGCATCTGGGATAAATAATATTTTGCTAATAAAAAATTGTGTCTTACCTAGATGCTGTATCAGTTTTGAGGAGGGCCTTTCCTGCACAAGCGAAAAACAAGAATAGCATTAATCACCAGGCTGTAGGACTCCATGAAGGAGTTTCTCTGACAAAATGGAATAAAAACCCTCAGAAAGGAGTGCTAAGCTTAAGGCAAGAGCAGGTTTTATACTAGGAGCAGATCTGAACTTCAGATGGCTGCTACTCCTCCCTTCCAGCCTGATCCTGTAGAGCTCTAATACAGCAACTATTGGGAAACAGCAATAGGTATTTTACTACCTAGCACAGAAAGTCTATCATGATTCAAATCTATTATTTTAACAGCATTTAGTTAATATTTGGTAATAAGCAATCACAACAGAACCAGTGTCAAACAAAAAACTTTGAAATATGCCCAGAAATTCATGTCATGCTCTCAGTATCTGGGTGCGTATTTATACAACACTCAGGTTTTAAACAACTCCCTTTACAGTCAACAGTAAAACCATGAGATCATCTGGGAATCTGCTCGCACACAGTATTTGGACTCTCCTTCAAGTTAAGATATTACGGTGTTCCTGTATTTTCACCCATCTCTGTGAGCACTAGGTCCACCATTTGCAAACAGACCGTAGATAGGGCCCAACATCTGAACACAGTTCAGTCCATACCCAGACCAATTCTTAATGAATATGCTCAAGTGGCCAAAGCAACAGAACTAAGGAAGGATCTTCAAAAGCTCCTAGCACTGTGCCAGAAATGAAAGAATTGAAAAACACTGCACAGCTTTCACAGAAAGTAACAAGGAAGAACAGCTTTGATGGAGGGTTCAGTGAAGGGCAACCAAGCTAATCTGGAATACCTCAAAGGTGTCCAATTTAGCCACAGGATATAACAGAACATAAAGCAGTATCCCAGAATAAACTATTGAGGACAAATGTATACACAGCTTATCAATTTGTATAAATCCATATATTGTGGAACAAGTTACTTTTACTACATATCATATGCAGATTTCAGAGCATTCAGGTGTTGAGTTGTGTGTAACAGCACCAGAGGGAGCGTGAGGAGAGAGAGGGAGAAAAGGCGGCTAGAGCGTATCCATAATGGCCAACAGATGGAAAGCTGCCCTGAGAGGAGGTTTGGGACAAAAGACAAGACAGTTTCGTAATCCATTTAGTCCAAAAAAAGTCAGTGAAAACTTGGGAAAAGCAAGAGGGTTGCAGGAGGCAACCCGAAGTGTGACAGCCCCATAGCTGTGTATTCACCCAAAATCCCCAACCAACCAAAAAAGCTCAAAACAAAGCAAATCTTACAGTTGTATTTTTATTTTGACATTTTCCAGTGATAGCTATTAGGCTACAGTTTTTATGATGCATACATTTACTAAGTACAACATCAGACACTACAACAGATCAGCGCTCAGGTCATTCTGATAATGTTTTGGTTTTCATCTATGTACTTCAGTGGCATCTAGTGAAAACCTATGATTAAAGGCTTTTACTTACTAGATGAATTATCAGTATCTTTTAAAAAAAAAAAGAACAAAAAACCCTTTATTCATAGTTTTTGTTTGGTATTTGAAATATGTTTAGTTTAAATCATACATTATTTTCAAATTGCAAATGCTGGTGTTTCCAAGTTGGGAACAAATATTACTGGACATAAATCCACTGTTCAACACCGGTGTTGATGCTATTTGTCTCCTGTGATAGGTAGGCTAGATTGATCACATTTAATGGACTTTCATGTTTCATCCCAGATCAAAGTCTGAGAAGCAATCTGTTAAAATTTGTATAGAATATGGTGCTCTAAACGTCAGAATAAAATGATCACTGGAATAAATATACACTGAACTGAATGAGGTAATTTTTTTGTGCAAAATCTCTAGAATAAGTGTATAATTCTAAGGGGACATTGGCAAGTATTTTCCAGCATCTGATAGAATCTGTTATAACAACAGGTAATAAATTAAAATATGAAAGATATGTCCACATTAAAAGAGCATAACCATGATTCAAAGGAAAAAAATGTTAAAATAATTTTGCATTAGATTCTATGGTTAAAGAGCTATTAGTCCTAAAGTGAAAGATACTTTATATTATACACTGACACTACAGTTTCATTTCTGAAAAGTGCATGTAAAATACTGCCATGTAAAATATTAGATGAATTACCAATTACACATTTATTTCAACTTAAAAATATTTTCCTTTAAAACATGTCAAGCAGCATATACTTTTAATGTGATATAAAAGTAATACCAGTCAAACCACTGAGTTTAAGGATAATACCTATAAATTACTAAGTATTTTTTTTTTAAGGAAACAAGATACAATAAGGCTTTTTACAGGTAAACAAACTTTAAAAATAAACAAAAATACATTTAGGCATACATTTTAATACACTAATGCTTAAGTATTGGATACTTTTCCTGATCTACAGTACAAACATACTGTAATGACTTTTTTTGTTTTTCAATAGGAGAAAAAAAATGTAGGTCAGCATATTCTCACCTATTTTCTCCTCTAAACTTGCTACTGGATGTAAAGACTTTCTCCATTACATTCCCGCAAGTGCAGTACCCTAAAAAGTCAAAAACTACTATACCCCACCATTATTATATTTTACCTTATTTGGAGCCACTTACAGTAGCTGCAGTTTCAGAAATAAAATAACATCTGAAAAAAACAGATTTTGATATGCTATGCACAGGTAAATAATCTAAATCATTTAGCAAGGCTCATTCCGAGTATTTATGCAATGCAAGAGTAGGTTCTTGAAAGTATCCATGTGGTCCATCAAACATAATATGGGGCATATACATTGAAAATAAAATGATATCACCATTTCAAAATTTTACTTACAAAATTTAGACTGTCTTTATTACAGATTTCTTTATCAGCAACCATATGAACAACATATCTACCTCTCAAGTAACTGAAATGTTGCGGTCTGCTTAACAGCAAAAATTTTGCAGGCAAAATGGTAAGTACCTCCAGATTATTTCTTTATATACTAAAAGAAATTATATTAAATTGTTAATTTTTAGAATACATTAAAAGTATTGCACTCTGCAACTAAGTAAGGTGTGCGACTACACGTATATTTGAGCCATACACCACAAACTATATGTTTCAAAGTTCAGAATTGGAACCTTAAGCAAGGCCTCTGACTTTATTGTTGCACATTTTGAAATGTGAATTCTACATAACAGATCTAAGGCATGCAGGAGGGAAACATCTTTATGGTAAGATGTGCAATCATCAAAATAACAGGGTTTCTGATTATGCACTCTGGATTTTAAAACATTTTATCAGCATGAACAATAGTCAAATGATAGCATCATAGTCAAAACTTATTTAAGAATATTTTTCTTAGTCAGCTTTTCAAAGAACATGAGATTTCGGCTACTGCGGAAATTTTGTGTCTTTTTTTTCCCCCTCTAAATACCAGTGTGAAGGAATACATTTTATAAAGTGGCAATGAAACAAAACAGATAATATTAAAAATACAGACTGCTATCTCTGGGGTCTACAAACCAAGAAAAACCTTGGAAAAAATACAAAATTTAAACAAATACTAACATCATGATTGACTTTTGATCATTTGCTTCAGCATACTGTATTTTCAGATAACTACTTTAAAAAGAAAAAAATAAAACCCTAAACATGTAACTTCCAGTGTGCTACTTGTGCTTAGTTACCATTTTCCTTTACAGGTGATACTTGATAACATTTGCAAAGATCCAGTTAAAGTAAGAGACTGTGTTGAACTGTAAACAAGGCTGACAACAAAAAGTGACATATCTCATTTTTAGTGCCTAACATGATACTGTCATACATTAAAAAGAACACAATATGCAGCAGCGATTTAATATGCTTGATAAACCACAGTACTAACAAACGACCACCTATGTTATACCATGTAGTAAGCTATAAGACTTATCACTATAACTTATGTCAAACTGACATAAATAAGGAAGTGGTTTAAGAAATTATTTTATATATTGCCAGTTCTTGTTTCTCCATCCCAGTTTTTACAAATTAAATGTAACAGGCTCCCAAATGACTGTGTATTCTACTACAAAATGCCTTACTTTTAAGTCTTCCAGTTCAGGACAATGATGTCCTTTATTGGTCCCTGCCTACAAGACTATTACACATGGAGTTTAATTTACACTATTTAAATATGTTACTAAAGATCTAAAAATGTCTCTAGACAGATGAGGACACAATTTTTGCCCAATCCTATTTCCACACTCCAAAAATGTTTAAGTCTTCATAAATGTAATGACTTTACACAAATGCTCATATTTCTATTAGCCTTCTATCTGTGGTGCTGTTACGTAGTTTCCCAGTTACTTTTACTACAGATGCAGTCAAATACATACTGTTTGTTCAGAAAAAAAATATTTTTAATGGCTCACTATGTTTTAATGGATAAAGATGCTGAGCAACTGAAGTGCCATCTATCACTGACAGCAAATCCCTGGGATTAGACACGTGAGATGAAGCCCAGGCCCAAGCTGGCTGGAATCTGAATGGTTTCTAATGCCAGAGAGGATGGATTAAATGGAAAAGTAACAGGAAAGATGTGCTTAGCATCCATAAGCAATTGAGGAGAGTCCTTCCTGTCTCTCAAACGCATCTGGAAAGAAAATGATTACATTAGCATTTGACTCATAGATAATAATCATCATCTTGCAATGAGGTAGCATTTAATCTATATGCATAGATATATGTGTAAATAAACATGCACAAATTCTATGGCAGCTTGTCCTGAAACATTTCTATCAGTTGTGCCGTTAAACTGTGGTTACTTTGAGCAGTTTCAACTCTGCATTTCCTTCCCATAATAATGCGAACTGAAGATATTTATATTCTCTGTAAAAGGTAGAATTTGCTCACTATCTGCTCACTGCATTTTTTAGTAAATCTTTTTTTTTAATTTCATTTTTACCTTCCCCATCTTCCTTATTCTGCTAGAAATGTAATTAAAGTTCTGACAGACCAAAAAGATCACCTTGTTTCATTTCTTTTGTTCTATTGGCTGCTTCTCCACTGAGTTTTCAAAATGTTTCATTTTCATGAATATAGTTAGATTACAAGGGCTAAGTGAGGACCTTCTGAAATGTACACAGGCCTCAGTTTTCAAGCACTCTATTACACACACAAGTCCAACAAAAGTAATTTTGGCTATACAAATGTTAACACCTGAAAAGTGGGCATAAAAGCGCAAAAAATCCCTCATTTTGCTGAAAAATCTCACACAGAAGGATTAACTGGAACTTTTTTTTTATGCAAGTCTGGAGGCAATAAACTGAATACTTAAAAATTTAACTCTGACATCATCTTTTTGAAACAGGAGAAACAAGTATGGCTAAAAAGCCTAGTTTACTTGAGATTCCTGAATATGTTTGAAGACATGACCTGTTTTGGGTCATGCGCAGGTTTCCTAGAACTAGCAATTTTTTTTTTTTGAAAAAGCCATACCTGTATTGTACGTATAAATGATACCAAGACTCTTTCTTCAAACTCATTAACAGGAGTATACAAATTCAGAACTTTTACAATCTGTGAAGAAAAAAACCAAAACATTCTTAATTTCATTTTATTGATGAATCAACAGGTACATCCATGTTTCATTTAATCTTTTTCATATTTGCAAATATCTTTTTATTAACTATTTTAAAAGGGAATATTTTTACAAATATTCATTCTTTTATGCTTTATCGATTCATTATCTATTTAAAGCTATGATATAAATATGCCTTCTTCAGCCTGTCTGTTCCCTGAAGGCAGAAACTCCTATTTTTACATCTGTGAAAAATGCCAAGCTGTGGAGAATCAGATGACAGATAATTCTTTGTGTTCCCACACGCACTAGAAACATGCTCAGTTTCTCTGGTTTTGATTCTGTACTTATGACCTTCCCCTGCTTGCAATTCAAGAGAGTCCTGTGACTTCACTGCATTTTAAGAGAGTATTATTCTGAAAGTAGAGCTAACACAACCAGAGAAAAGAACTGTAATGCAAAGGCTTTAAATAATAATATGGGCAAAACATCTACAGCTTAGAGAAACATTATTCTTTTAATAAACCCCTTTTTAACAAAACTAAATAAAGAGGTACGTAGAATAACTTCAGTGAAAAAAACACCGATTTTCCAGTAACAGGAATTTCTAAATCAAAATCGTTGTTATATCAGTGCAACTTCTAGCTCTGATATCACGTCAGCTGTGTTGTTTACTGAGGTATATTTGGTTCGGTCTTTTTGAGGCTAATGGGTAGAGTAACATAATACTTTTGTATACAAACCCTCAAACAACAGATCTGTGTGAATTGTCTGTTGCCTTAACTGGACACTAACTCAGATGCCAAAAAGATAAATTCCTCATATCCCAGGCAGAGCTGCCCAGAGTACAGAGATATCAGATTTCTTCCTGCCCATTTTCCCAGTCTCGAAAAGTGACAGTTAAAAAAAGAGAAAAAGTTTGATTACCTGGGCAGTAGTCAAAGCATTGCACATTGAACAAATAGCTTCTGCATCTTCATCCGTTTTCTTTTTCACTTGCAACAACTGTGCAGCCTGAATGAGAGGTTCCAGTGTTTCTTTAGCCCCACTATTCATCAAATTTTTATCACGTAGCCATTCTTCAAGTTGACTCACATTGTATCTGTACAAAGAGATAAGAGTATCAAGACTTTAGTATTTGACTACAATTTCTTGCAATTTAATTTTTATATAATTTCCCTTTCATTAAAGAAAGAAAATTCGAGTTTTAAAACAGCTAAAAACGACTGTCAAAGGCTTCCACTAAACTTGTTTCCCTGATCCTCCTCCTGGCAGGACTGCGTACACAAGTATGTGAAGAAAGACAAACAAGATTTTGTCCAAATAACTGCACAGTGAGGCTCTTCAAGATTACCTGAGGCACTGGAATATCTTGGCTAAATTCCCTGTCATATGCTAGTAGAATTCACTGCATAACTGATGCCAAAGGCAGGAATACAATAAGATGGCTTTACAGCAGGAAGCAGCAAATTACAATATGCCCGAACACAGCAGGCATCCCCTGAGCCACAAACCTACGAAGAGCACAGCAGGCATGTTTGCTATTCCTCCCTAAAAGCTGAGAAAGAAATTATCAACATTTCAGCTATAGTTCTGGTTCATACTTGTAAACCAAGTATTTTTGTTTTGCTCCTTTCAAGTTTCCTTGGAAGACAAAGCAAAGCCTCTCTAAGGAGTTCAACTGAACCCCTCAGAATCAATTTAAAAGCATCCACAACTGCCTGTGTTTGAAATAATAAATGTTTACAGCATATTTGCCATTCCATCAAAATTGATGAAGAGAGATGAGCTGCTTTACCTTATCTGCATTCCTTTGCTCCACGAGCACATGTCCTTGCGCAGGAGAAGATTATTAAGTGTCACAGCCCCAATGATATAGAACATCTGCTTGATAACCTGCTTGATTAGCTCTGGATCCATTCCATGCTGGCACATCACCGAATGGAAAGAGTTCAGCTGCCGAATTATAGAGTCCAAAGTGTAGGTCCCTTCATCAGCAATGCTGGATGTTCTCTTCCGCAGCCCGGTTGGCTTCACCCCCGAGACACCCTGGATAGTTTCATGCTCCAGCATTCCTGAAACTGTGTTAGGTTGTGAACATTATTGTAATAATCAAAAGTTAGCTAGATCAAGGTGAACTGTGCAAACTAGCAAGCCTTAATATCTACTCACACTTAGTATCTACACAAAAAGATCAGGCCAGGCTTTTCTAGCCACACCATGATTCAGAGCAATCCTCTCAGTGCACCCTTATGTTGTGCAAAATCTATGCTTACATGTTTTTTTCACATGTATATGTGAAAGAAAAGTCTGACTGCAACTCAGCAAAAGGGTGAGATGAGCAGCAGAGGGCAAACCAAGAGCTGTTCCATTCTTCTTTGTGCTGCGATTGGAAACAGTTAACAAAAGTTTGTGTGAAAGTACTGTACAATAAGAAAAATGGCATGGACTTTCTATGAAGAATTCTCTGTGAATGTGAGCTCTGTCACTGCTATATCACTGCTGATTGCTGTCTAAAGTGACAGTCAACTATGTTTTCTCCATGTTCATTATGAATTCTTATTCAATCAAGTTCATTTTTTCCAAGGACAGGACAACAAATGCCAGACTGTCCTAACAGTGGCTCCTTCCTGTAAATACATGATTTAGGTGTTAATAGGGTAAATCCATTTATTCCGTTACTGTCAAAAGACCTAGCCACTGTTCTCTTCCTCTAATCCAGCCTGTTCAGTGCAGTCCTTGTCATCTATAAACAGAATATCAGCAGAACTATTAACAGAACTATGCCGTGGAGGAAGGAACACATGACAGAGCATGTTATCACCATCACAAATTTCCTTTTGTTACTATGGTGTGAAGTTTAAGGAATGAACCTTTGCCTTACCGATCATTGGTTGCAGAACATTTTCCAACACTCTGACAAGTTGTTGGTAGATCTGAATAGCCAAGTCACTCAGCACTTGTCTGTATTCAGCCAAGTCAAAATTAGTGAGGCAGTGTTCATTCTGACGAGGTGTATTATGCTTCATGAATCCCTGCATTCATAGAATAACATAGAAACAAATGCTTCAATGGAACACAAAATCATTTCGCAATACGAGGATTTATATATTTTTCACACAGCTGACAAATGATACTTTCAAAATAATATTCACAGTCCTTCAAAACTGTAATTTGGAAGTTGTTCTGATTGCTACTAATGCTGGAGTTTGCATTTCAGTTATGCCATATGCAATGTCTGTTTCTTTGACTTGAAACTTTCAAGTGACACCGGTATAAACACTGCCAGCTTTCTGGCACCTTCCTCCCACTGCAGCATGGATGATCTTATCTGGTGACTTTCTGCCAAAATCCCACTTGAGTCTGAAGAAAGAATTAGGCATGTGATATCTTTCAAACTTTAGTCAATGCGCAATACTGTAACTAAAGCGCTTAATATGACCTTCTACATAGGAAGCTCAGTGCATCTGAGCAGGAACTCAATGCTACGAACCTGATTTTTCTGCTTAATCTGCATTAGCACTTTCTGGAGCACAGTGCTAGCCCATGGCCTCCTAGCCTGTGACCAAGGGACACCGCTTTAAATCTTGCTTCCCTGTGCTTTCTACTGAAGTCATCACCATAATTCCAAACAGTGTGGCTATTTTTAAGCAACTGCAACTAGATTTTGAGATATTACAGGAATTTGTAGCAGAGCAGTGTTCGCAATGGTATTATGAAGTGGAAGAAACTAAAAAAAGAGAGCGCTTCCTACCTCTTCTCCACTATATTGCTTTAAACAGTGCAAAAATCGGCAGGTGTTAGATAGCCAGAATGACACGGTTTCAAAGTCATCACCTCTTTTCTGTAGATTAAAAAAAAATTCAATGGAGACTGTTAAAGGGAATAAAATAATAAAACATTAGATAAGCAATTAAGCACTTCAAACCCACTTTCTTCTAGTAGCTCCTCAGCTTCTGGCACTTTGCAAAACTTGCAGTATTTCAGGAATGGACTTGAAAAGCAAGGTTTTTGACTGAATCCCATTAACGCCTCCCATTTTCTAAACTCTTTAAGAACATCCAAAATACGATTTCTGCCACTGCTGTGGCAGTTCTGTGTTGTACAGATCCATGCCAACAGCCTATGCAGAAATCACAGGTCAATGTGGTGGGCATGACAACTGCTGCAAGAGCAGCCCAGCAGGAAGGCCAGTAACGAGGCATAGCCAGAAGAGGCAGTGGGAAGGAATTCCGTTTTGGTTAATGTCATTTAGGTCATAACCATTCTGGCATCCTGACAAGGAAAACAAAACAAAACAAACAAAACAAAACCAAAACAAAACCCCAAACAAACAAACACCCAAACCCCTCCTCCTGAGAGGACACAGAAAATAGGATGTGCTATTTCTGTAAATAAACTTTCTAGATGATTATAGCATGCACTCTATTTATTTAAGCGTGCAATGATTTTCCAAAAAAACAAAGCTCCAGCAGAATTGTTTGCTGAACTTTTTTTCCAAAACCTGTAGTTTAGTTAAATAATTGTTTTGAGCACAGCTGTTTTATTTAGAACCTAAAATAGCTCCATGAAGCATAAAGGGAACTGATTTATTATTTAATATTGCCTTCAAGATACCACTGTTCGAAGCCCTTCTAAGGCCACTCATTGCAAGGACTCAAGGCAGTAACGTATTACCATCAATGTAATCTGTAGACAAAGCAAATGAGCAAATCTTTCGACTGAAACAGCAAATGAAACATTTGCATTGAGTGCTCTGGATAGGATTTATAAAGACCCATTTTATGCAAATGACTGTACTCAAAACTTTACTTTAGCAAATTAAAGCCTGAAATACTTTAAAGATATAGTTCCAGAGGAAGAAGACTAAATGAAAATCTGGTAGTTCTTTTTTTCATTGACTCAAAGCATCTGTGCTATGATGTGAAGAAAATGCTATCACTATAATGTCTTGCTTGCTTATACAACATTTGGAACTTCAGGAGGAGCTTACTGATCAGAAATCCAGACCCAAGTCTTTTCCTCACTCTTTAACATAAAAGCACAAGCAAATTTCAAGTAATATCTTCCTAAACAAATGGAGAAACTAACCTTTAACACTTTTTTGATGCCATTGATAGTGGATGTCAACAGTGACCTCACTTTTTGGTCATCATTGAGGTAATCTGCGTGGCGTACACACATGAACAAAATATATGCTGGTAATCCTGGAATCAAGTTGACAGCCACACCGCGTGGTTTCAGCTCTTGGGATGAACAAACACACATTGTTTTGTTAATTGCAAAGAGTTATACGTGGTAAGTGCAACCTCCCAGTGAAACCAAATAACAATCTAAGAGCAGACTAAGAAGAAGGCATTTTCTTAGCAAACTGTCAGAACAGAAGAAAGCATAATTGCCTCCTAAAAAATATGTGGACACATCCTTAGGTGTGTCTATATTGATCAAGAAGTGAGATTATGTTCTCGTAACAGACATTTAACTTAGTTTAATATATAAACTTAACACTGTCAAAATTGAAGTAAACTAAAGGACACATCTCACAATGCAATTCTAGATTCTTATAGTTATCTTTTTAATTTTTCAGATCTCTTTGAAGCAGGCAAGGCTGCAAATGAGAAAGATATTTACCTAAAATAAGATTCTTGACAAGTTTTTGCTCATCCTCCTTCTTATATTCTAGCATCCCTTGGAAGTCCTTCTCCTTCCGTGGAATGTTAACTGGACGAATAGGTTCGTCAATGATTTGTCCTGGTGATATGTTCTCCATCTGACCCACTTCAGAAGGGAAAAGAAAAGATGAAATGTTTTCCAGTGAAGCCAGTTTTTACCACAGAAAACACAAAAACCTTCTTCTAAGGAAGAACTCAGTTCAAAATGGTTGTTTTGGACTGAGGACTATTTTTCTTTGGTTCCAGCTAGCATCTAGTTAAAAAAAAACACCCTCTAAAAAAGAAGACAGATTCTTGAGGAACGTATCCCAGGTTGGTGTTCTTCCTCTGAAGAACAGTGAAAATGTCAGAATCATAATCGTTAATACAGAAATATTGCTGATTTCCTGAATTTTATCACATAAAAGCGTAAGGAGACAGGAGACAACAATTAGTCACAGAAGATCACTGCTAACAGTCCTGTAAAACATAAGCATGCTTCCAGCTTGACTCCTGTTACCTAAAATCTTGCATTTCAAAACATTTTCAAACATAGCTCCTTTCTAAGGAGTAATAAACACAGATTAAACAATGTTTTCAGGAACATTTTTCCACTCCATACTGTAAAAAGTAATATGAAGATCACTGTGTTCTTGTTCAGAGAAGTAACCAAACAAGACTACCCAGCCACTAACCTCAATCTTAGTACTCAATAAAAATGTCTCGGAAGGGTTAGGGCACAGACTATTTAAAGACAAATTAATTCTTCAACTTTCTAAGACTATTAATTGTTTTTAACAACTAAAGTGACTTTACTTATCCAGAGGCATATTAAGTTCTCTATCTAATCAGTCCTGAGACCCTAAAGCCACTCACTTTGACGCACACAAAAATAAAACATGCTTAGTTGTGTATCAGTGTTCTCACATTTATGTTTCGCCAGCAATTGGAAAAGGAAACCTCAGGCAGCAAAAGACAATCGCAGCATTCTCAGCTCCAGTGAAACACGAATTCACAATCAAAAGAAACTGCAAAAATTATTTTTGCCTCATTCACATTTAGGGTAACTTTTGTCTTGATAAAAACAGATCACGTCTTTGTACACAAAGTCGTCAAGTAACACTTTCTTTGAAACATAAGAACATGAGAAAATTCATCGCTTTTTCGATGCTTTAAAATACAACTAATTTTTACTATATTTATAAAGGGACACACAGAGTTCTGAGTGGATCTCCTGTTTGGGATCAATTGAGAGAGATGCTACGGAAGACCCCAGGCCCTAGCTGCCCCAAGGCAACTGAGACAGATGGATTCAATAACAACAACGATGGATCACAAAAAGTAAAACAAAATCTATGCATTCTCTCAAAGTACCTTCAAGTTCACCAATCTTCTTAGCAAATACTTTCAACTGTTTCTTCAGCTTGCGAACAGTTTTGTCTTGCTTTTCAAGTTGTTCCATTAAATCCTGCAAATTAAGGTGAGAGAAAAATTAATGTATGAGAAAACACGAAAACTAGTGACAGAGACAGAACCAGACAAAACCAGCACTGTTAGAATTACAGGACGGTGAGGAAAGCTGAACAGTAGTGCCATCCTATGGCTGAGGTTTGCAAGCTGGAACACGGCCTATAACACAAGCCAAATATTACAAATTTTATTAAGTTATGTGCAACATAAGAAAGGCAAAGCAGTATATTCTGCAGATATTCAGAACTAGGTCAGTTCTTACAGGGAGTAGAAGGCATTTTGCTGCAAACAGATCTCCCTAATGACTCCTCTCTGCTCTTCCAAATGCCTCAGTGAAATTCTTTTCTTTATTATTTAACAGCTAGGCTGTACTTCTGCAACACCTGTTCATGCTTTTAGGACTGACTTCTTATTCAGACTTGTCTATTTTAAGTGAGTATAAAAGAGAATCTGAAAAGAGAACATAAATTTTATTTAAATGTACTCAAACATCAGGCATCCCAACCCATGAGGTTTCTCACAACACCGCCACCTCCCTGCAGCTTGCTGTCATGGCCCTTCCCGAGACACAAACAGTTCTCACAGGAACCTTCCTTTCACTCTGTTCTTGAACGGTATCTAGCACATAACAGTCTTAGTATTGCAGTAAGGTGGCATTTTTCTTTCAAAGGAAGCATTCCAGAAATCTAACTTTGAATAATTTTGTTATCAATGGTGGTTAATTAATGAAATAATTAAGAGAATGGAAAGCCTTTACAAAGGATGCCAAACCTCAAGGTCGAAAAAATCTGAAAGCCATTTCAGAGTGAGGGTTTCAAAACAGCTTAAAAGAAAAATGCTCTTTTAGTAAGCTTGATTGAATGTGAACAAGGTACCCTCAGCTCTCTGCATCAAAAACTTCATCCGGTTTTTCTTAGAAGTATTGAAACATGTTAGTGTGGTATTGAGAAAAAATGAGAATTAGATATAAAAATGGTTTCAATCACATAGTAAAGAGTTCAGAACCTTATACAATGTACTTAAACATACAATTGCGGATTTGCTGAAAGAACAGAACCATACTTCCTATTCAAAATAGTAGTAAAAATTTTTAGAAAATAAATTCTGTCAATAACATCACTATCTTCAGATATAACAATTTCTACTAAAAATAATAATGCGGAAGTCTGGTTGACTGTTTTGAAAATATTAGTGAAGAGAAAACATAATAAATACATTAGAAAGAAAAAAAACTTCTCTCTCCGGTTCCTCTAATCAAAATAAACAAATTTCGCATCTCATTAATATTTGGAATCGCATAAACGATACTCTTTCCAAGATTAGGTAGGCTACAGTCTCTATTTGCTGGTCTACCTTTAATTATTGTGGAAATGCTTTTTCCCCCCCATTTCTTCCTATTTGTCCTTCAAACTTTACATTCATGCAAAGTGTAAATTAAAACCTCTGATTCAGTGCACTGCAAACAGATTTATGAATAAATTCAGAGTAGGGTCAGGCTACTCGTGTTTGCAGGCGTTATGCTCCTTCATAACTCTCTATAACTATTTTGCTGAGCTGAATATTATCAAAGTTTTAAAGAAAAGAGGTGGATCTGAAAATTGAGCATCTTTTACATCACGTTATCTCTTCTTCAAGGCATAAAGGCATTTTTAATCCTTTGAATTCAGAAAGAAACCACTTGATCACAGTGCAAGACTTATATTAGTAACAAAAACTGTGCATCAAAAACAGACACCGGGATTACACAGAGGACACTCAGACTAGCAACAAAAGCAGTGAGGGAAGAAGTCGGCATCGGGAAGCGCTCTGCCCGGCGTTCCTTGGAGAGGGAAAGGCAGGCAGCCTGCTGCTCATTAGTGCTCCAGAAACAGCGAACAGGACAACAGAGAAACAGGATTCGTGTGATCTACATACAATCATCCGTCTGTAAAGAGAAATCCGGTACGACTGATACTTCTTGGGATCATCTGCATACAATTCCTCATAAAACTGTGAAAATAGGTACAGGGTTGTTTTTCTCCTTCCCTCTGAGATACCGATACATCAGTAAGCACTGTATGAGCACAGCCAGCTAAAACAAGGCCAGGAATCTCCAGTTCTTACATGTGGGGCTCACTCCAGCTTCTCCAAAAGAGGAGCTGATGTCACTGGGTTGCAGAATGGTCAGATCTTCTAAAAATGGCAAACAGTGTAACTGTGTAAGTCTAGAATATAACCTGTGTGATAATTTGGAAAGGACATTCTCTTCCTACACTAATAAAGATGGGTACACAATGAATATTGAAATTCTAGTCTTACACCTTGATAGGAATAGGAGTGGAAAATAAACATATTCCCAATGTGGAATGGGCTCAGACAGCTGAAGTGAAATACTAAGGAACAAGTCTATACTTAACAGGTAAAATTACATTCACTGTATTTGAAAATAGAGAACTCCTCTGGGATGTAATTACATGACTGTGTGTTGTCTTGGAAATGCGATGAGTAGTTCTCTTGGGTGAAAACAAAAGACTAAAAATCATAATATATAATTAGGCAGCAGGAGTAGCTGTCCAAGATGGAAACATTTGCCATACACCTTTTCCAGAGTGAGATGGTTACTGCTGAAAGAAACTTGTAATATATTTTCAATTATGAACATACTTCTAGGAACAGTTTATTCTGATCTATCAACTGAATTATCTATTGTTTTTCTCAAAAACTTGGTACTAAGACACGAAGAAAGACAGCAGCAGCAAAGACTACACCTTGGTTTGTTTAGTGGACACAATGATACTCAGTTAGGAATTTTCTGTTGTTCACTTTGTTATAAAGAAGAAACTCCATAAGAAGATCCCAAGCTACTAAGCAGTTTATCGATAAGTATTTCAGCATGGGCCTCTTTGGCCAGTTCTCTGAGGAATCAACCAGCCTGCACATGATAAACATTCTCCTCCAGAGAGAAAGATAGGGAGTTTCACCTGATCTTTCCTTCATACAAAAAATCCGTACAACAAACAAGAAACAGCAATTAGCCAAGTGACTCCCAACCAAGTGTCTTTTTCTAGAACTACTTGTTTCTTCCAAACATACTGAATAGATCTAGCTCACAACACAGTGAATGATATATGAGCTTCAGGCAGAATGGAGAGAAAAAGGAAAATGCTACATTTAAAAATAAAAGACCTCCATCAGAGTTTTTCTACAATATGAGGTTCATGGATATCATTCTTTCTGTGTAGGGATGACAGTACTGAAACCAGCACTGTTACTCTCACATTTACGAGCTTTCCCCATGCCGATGACCTCTAACAAATTCCCCACCACAATATTACTTCATTGGCAGTCATTAGTGTCTCTTATGTTAAATTTATCTACACCAATCCATTGCACTCCTGCAGTTTACCATGGCAGGCTGCCACCAGGAAGGTGATAAGAACTGGTGGGCACAGACAAGTCCCGCAGCCTCGCAGCCTGCTGCCACAGCCCCGTTTCCCTTACCAGGTTTTCATTAGTGAGCCGGGTGATCTCATGCTGCAGACTGGCCTCGATCCGGGCCTCTGGGGGCAGCTGCAGGTTCTGCGCCAGGAGCTGCTGCTGCCGGTTGTTTTCTTCCTTCAGACTCTGGATCTCACCTCGCAGCGACTCCAGTTCATTCTCGTGGCTCTTCTTCTGTGACTGAAGCTGAGACTCCAGCAGCCTAGAGAAGTTGAGCAACAGTTGCAAGACACTGAGAAAGTTGCACCCCAAATTTACAGAGGGAGTCTAAAGCTTTAGTTGCTGCTCAGGAACAATTAGCCATGGCTTGCAAGGGAAAATGAAAAAGGCAGAGTACTCTTTAAACCCTTCAATATGCCTTCTAATTAAAGCTTGCATGATCAAAAAGTGGAGAAAAACTAATTGTGACACTGCTTTGCATTTGCTTTGTGATTGAACAAACACTCTGTGTGGTACCACAGAGAACATGTGGTACTAAATGTATTGCTAAGGCTTCACGGCTTGTCACTGTTTTTAAAGGTGTAGACAAGTTTTACTTAATCAAATCAAATCAGCAGTGTAAGAGGAAGAAGATATTTGCTTAAGCTCTGTGATATTAACAAATTAAAATCTTTTTAGTTAACTCTGTTCAGTCAGAAACTGAAACATTTAACTGCAAATCCACATAAATTATCTTTATTTTTACATTAAAACAAAGATTTCAAAGACAGTTGTCATTTGGGCAGGAAAAGTTAACAAGAGACACGAACTCTGGACTGGGATGCAGAAGGGCTTTTTTATTCCAGACTCTGCCACTGATTTGCTGTTTCCCTGTTGGCAAATTTTGTCTTGAAATCTTCTCATGTGAAATAGGGATAGTATTTAATAACCGCCCTCAAAGTAGTGCTGTGTGGACTAACTCATGTTTGCAAGACACTGTCCAAGTCTTCTGACTCATAATTTCATAAATATACACACACAGGAAATGACATTAATAGGGACTTGTAGGGGTCAATTAGACAAACGTTCAGGGTTTAAATATGCATAAGGCAGGCACATTTATTAGTAAGTAGACTGACCAAGCTCGCAAGGGCAAATAGTCATTTAACTGCAATGCTCTGCCATTTAACAAAATTCTTACTGTCTCTACAGTACTAGGACAAAAAAATAAAAGTAAAAAGATGCAGAGCGAGCACTCCTGCATCCCGCTCTGCAGAACGCAGGCACTAAGTTCCATCCTGGCAGGCTTACAAACAAGCTTAGGCTGAGGATTTGTTAGCACAAGAAACAGAAAGACAGTAGTTAGTAGCATTCATTGCAAAATGCTTCCTTTTGTAGTTACTGCTACCCATATTTAATAAAGTCAGTACTGCTGATCTATTAAATTAGTTGGCTGTACAAGACTACAAACCATTTTGGAAGTCTGGGACACATGAATGCAGAGAGCCAGACATGCACACACAGCCAGAGTGAATTTACTAACAAGGTAAATTCCAGCAGTTAAATGTCCAGCACACAGCCCGTGCACAGGGCACGGCGACTGTACAGGTTAGAACAGCGCCACGATGAACCACAGATTACTGATCTGTTGGTTATTTTGTGTGCGCTACATTTTGACTCTGGTACAAAGGTGTGGGAGAGGAATTTACTGAATTTCAGCTGCAGTAGGAGAATAGGAAGTGTAACTATCCAAACATTAGGTGTCTGCAGCAGCTATTCGAACAATAGCTTTACAATTACTAAATTGAAGGTACTTCTTTAAGCTGAAAATTCACAAGGAACATTAATTTCTACATCCAACATAGAGGCAGACGAACAATAGAGTTACAATGGTGCAGCTTTTGGTATTTGCTAGTCTATGTGTGAGTATTTTTATGGATTATATATTAGCTGTTATCATCACCAAGTTTTTAATGATACAACTTGACAGGTAAAAAAAATTGGGGAAACTCTGGATTTGTAACGATGAATTGAGTTTTCTTAAACTATTAGTGCATAAGAAACACTGTAGCTAAAGCAAACCCACAGAAAGGGGCATAGTTAGCTAGAAAAGAAGATGCAAATGAAGAAAAAAAACATTCTGAGAAGTCTGGTAACCTGTTGGCTTGTTTTAACCCTTCATAAACCAGCCAAAGTTCTCCGTCCTCATTCAGCATATGATAGTCCTGGGGAGATTGTCTTCCAAGAAAAATGTTTAAAAAATACAAAAGAGATACAGGATGGTGATGAGATGACATGTTAAGGGCAGTACATAGTATATTACAGTTACTATAAAAGAGAAATAAACAATGCTCTAAACACTTAGCAAAGTGCATCTTGTGCTTATACCTCTTTATTCTTAATGATGAAATTCAATTCTCAGTGTCAGAGATCATAGCTAGTTACAGCATTTCATGATTTTACAGTATGTGTTTTACAACAAGTTACTGTGACAACTATTCAATAATCGATAGAAACATCGGGAATAGCACCCTGAAACAGAGAAGGAATGTCAAAAAGTAATTGTTTGAGCAATTCAGTCAATTAAAGCCTGAGTGCATGGAATCCAGGAAGTTTGATTTTGCATTTCCCTATTGGTTCCTAATCCTTTTGGATACTGCATTAAATTGCATAAGGCAATTTAACTCATCAAATTATATCCCCCTCTACAAGTGCTCTCGAAGAATCCAAGCTTACATGGATGCAACTTACTGAATATGATACGCTGAGTGTGTCACAGCAGACCCCAAATGACTTAAAATCAAATGAAGAGAACTCATACCTGTTTGTTTCCTTCAATCCAATATACGCCTGTGCTATTTCTCCTTTGTCCTTCATCTTTTGCACATCCTCCAAAAGGATTGTGGCATCTGTCATGGTATTCTGAAAAAAGAACCATCATTTCCAGGGTAAATTTAACACTGTAACTGTCCTTTGAATATGTATTTTAGTCACTGTATGCAAAAGGAATGTTACTCCTAGGGCAGCCCCATTAAAATTAGTGTGAGTAGTGGGGAAGCAGGAATCTGGTATGTAACTTCTCTGGCCATCTGGCATATTTTTTAAAATGAATGCCTGCAACATGTGGAAATACCAGTCTGTCTAATAAGCACGTGCATTCAACAACCTCCTTTGTTCATCACATAAAAAGAAGGAAATGGTGGATTTGCATTTTATTTTGAATTAGCAGGAACATCGCTGAAAGTGAAGAAGTGTAATTTTGCAATATGTTTACACATAGAGCTCAGTTCTATCCATGCTATTTAAATGCAGCAGCACCGGATTCTTTGGAACCTTCCAAGTTCTTCTATTCCTCCCTTCACCTATTTTAAGTACTCGGGCGAAGCTGGAAGCCATGTACAAGGACTGGCAATTTTTTGAAGTTGGTTATCATCCCAGTACTGTTCTGTTTCTGTTTGGAATGTTTATTACCATACCTTCCCTCTTCCTTCAGTTAAACTTTGACAACCTAACAGGTTTTCACTCACCTAAACCAGTCTGATCTAAGCCTTATGTCCTTCCTGTGGATGCTATTGGTGAAACCACAAGGGGCCACTGGATATATTGAATTCTGACTTCTCTTCTTGACATTCAAAATAATCAAGTGCTATTTCCCTTAGCAAAATTTTACAAAATATTGGCTACAACATCATGCACATATATATTTGGAGTGCAACACTTGTATAATTTATCTTCTGTGAAAACCATAAGCTTCCCATCAAATTATTTCCAACACGCTTATGAAATATTTCTGATTTTTCTATTTTATTATACAGTAAAACTGCTGTAATCTCATTTGCCAGTCTACCAAGATTTAGCAACCTGCACATATTTATTATTTTGGGGTTGAAAGAAAGAAGTGCTAAATACTCTTCTGTCTTCAAGAACATCCTACACACTCTACTTATAACATTTAAATCGTCAGCCTTCATTTAAGGCCAGTTTGCTTCCTCATACTCTTAAGTATTTCCAAATCACAGTGTTGCTCCTGCCTTCCAAATACACTCAAAAGATACATTGACTGAGTTAGACAGATTTATGATTCCTTTCATGTTAGGGTTAGCATAAACCAACAACTCCAAATGGTTAAATTTGATTGTTTCCAAGTAACTTGTTTCCTTTTGCGAGGGGAAAGTGGGTGGAATTAGGAAAGGGACAATAAGAACGGCCTCTTCAATAACGAAGTGTGAGAACAACATCAACAACATGCAGGTTATGAGATGCAGGGAAATGACAGTTCAAGCACTTGCGAGGATTTTTAGCATTTAAGAGATGCTAGTTTATAGCTGTGGGAAAAAATATGTACCTTATCCTCCTGGCAATCAAATTGGTAGGCAGGAGAGAAGAGAAAGAAACCATTAAAAAATTCTGTTCATGCTGCAGCTATCCAGGCTAACAAGCAGAAGCTATATGTAAACTGCCTATTAGCCATCCCCCTGTCACCCTTAGACTTCTCTCATAACAGCTGTCACAACAACACTTGGATGCCACCTTTGTTGAGAATTAGTCACTCAAAGATTTACTATTCAAGAATTTATGTTCTTAATAGTAGAGGAAACCAAGGTTTTATCTCCATATAATTAGCCATTCACAACAAGATATATACACCTCCATGCATCACACACTTCAAATTTATTTAGTATGTAAGAATATCTTGGCAGTAGCAAAGGAAAGAGGACACCACTGTTTACTCCCTGCTGAGGTTATGAACCACTAGATACTCCAGTTCAATGGGAATGACTAGTTACTGGATTTACCTAATACAAATCTAACAGCCTGGTGTGACTGGTATGGTATCTTCATACAAATGCTGCTAGATGAGCCCAAATTGGTTTGAGTTTCCCAATTTGAACTGCTGCAGTTAGTGCACTTATAATTGATCATGAATTGCACCTAGAAAGGCTTTGGAGCTTACACCATTTTTCCCTGCTTTTCCAAGCATGCTGCAAGGTTAAATAAAGCACCTCAGCAATGCAATTTAACTTTACTACCCAGTATATCTGCTGACTATTCTTTACCTTGGGTTGAATAGCTTCTTTCTGGCTAACCAGCTGAGACCTGAGTATGAGGACTTCTTCCTTGCGCACTTCAAGCTCTTCACTCACTGAAGTCAGCTGATCCAGCAGGACCCGATATGCAGGGGCACCAGGAGCAGTTACCTCTGGAGACCGCGTTTCTGTGAGGGCCTTCTGCAGCTCATTCAACTCATTCTTCAGTTTTTTATTCTCAGATTCCAGTTCTTGACGCTGCAAGATATAGCGATAACTCCTTCACTTAGTGTAATTCCTATGCCAACAAAATACAGCCACGAAGGTATGGATAGAGAGGCTGAAAACTAGGAGTAACTGCGACAAATCACTCTGAGGGAGGGTCACTCCCTTAAACCTGGTTTCTTCACTACTCTGAAATCCTCTGGAAGGATTTCACCAATAGGGCTACCTTTTGTCTGAAATGTCATATCAGAATACATATATATGAATCATACCAATTGATGGAACAAATTTACCTTTCTTCCCCCTGTTCTTCTCCCCTCTTCCCCCACCCAGCAAAAAATGCAGTTCCAAACAGACAGTAGTCAGCAAGCTATGAGGAGTCTTCAGTGATATTGGGAAACACTTTTACTTTCAGTGGCTTAAGATATGCATCAACTTCAAAAGCATGTTTGGAGGAAAGGGTGACACTCATCATTGCATTCTTGCTTAAATTAACTTGCAAGCTGTACTAAGCCATGAACACAGAACTCTCTCTGATTTAACTGGATCTTCTTACATGCAGCCTCTGTCACACATTCTATACCTCAAAAAGGACAATGCTATAAAAAAGGCTTACCGGGGAATTTTCATTCTATTTTTTTCCAGCTAATATGCTGAAACAAGAGGGTTGTTTATATTTTATAACTATGCTACTAGGTAATTGGTGGCAACATTCTCACTCTAAGATAAATTTTACAGAATTACCTTGAGCGACTCATATTCCAACTCTGCACCTCTTATTGGGGGCCTTTCCTCCTCCTACGAAAGGACACACACAACAGTGAAAAACAATCCAGTTCTTTCTATTCTTTAACTGAGCTGAAGCAGCAAAAGGAAAGCAAGCATTCGGCAGCCACAGAAAGTTGCAAGCACTTTTAGTTCCTGTTAACTCCAGTGAAAGGATCTTAGTGATACTGGAAAAGAAAATATGTAGCCCATGGTAGCAAATGTAGAAAGCACTGAGGCATAAAACTTGCTGCCAATAAATAAAGCAAGTACTATGGGAAGGTAAGAATTTAGTAAATGCCAGTCAGCATTCACACAGTTGATACACTGCAAGGAGGGATACTCTGGTATCAGCATTTCATCAGCTAGAAAGATTCCACCTTAGCTTTAGCGCGTAGAGCCTGTTCTTCCTTTCTGTCCAGTTCATCCTGCAGGGATTGCTTTTCTTGCTCCAGCTCTGTAACCCGTTTCTGCAGCTTGAGGAACAGAGACATATCCAGTGGTGCCTTTTTCTCACTTGGTTCCTGCTTTAGAAAGAGCAGAAGGAAGTCAAGAAGTGTTGCATTTCCACACCAAAAGAAAGCACTACTGTGAGTAAAAGAGGGAAACAAACTGGGAGGGAAGAAACGAGCACAAAAACGTTACTTGATTTTGAGAGCTGGCTACGGGCATCTAAGATCTTTCACCTGAAGACTATTTTTAAAAGGGATCTACTGTTATAAAACATTTCTAGACCTCAAGTCTAACAAAAGAAAGCACTAAAGACTATCTAGCTGACAGCAAGTCTACAGTTAAGCATACCTTTTTTTCTTACTTGTGTGGAGGGGGAAAGGAGAAAAACATCTGTGGTTAGACTCACTTGGAAAGCAACTGCAGGTAAGAGGCTACGTTTCTTCTTTATCAGTTATTTCTACAGCAGGTTCTTTAGGTAAAGAGAAATCTCTATGCTGATCACAGAGTTAGACCCATGATTAAGCAAAGCGAATTCAGAGGAATGTCAAATAAAAAGGTACCAGAAGATATAGTTTGTGTCCTTTTCATTCTATTATGCTAATTAAACAGCCTGTACTAGGACTAATCCACTAGCTTTCTCAGTGTTTTCTGGGCAAGGACCAGCATTTGTAGTCTGAAAGCGCATCAGAAATTGCTCATCAGCCATTTTGTACTTTATCTAGCAAGAAGATTAAAGCATTTACTATGAAGTGAACCATAAAATTTTGAAGTCCAGAAAAGGAACTAGAAAATTAATATTAAGGACTACAGCAGACAAGCAAGCACAGCCATTTCCACCTCATCTGCTTTCACAGTTGAGAGAAGAGTCATAAACTACAACAGCAGCTTAGGGAAAAAACAAAAACAAAAACAAAACAAAAATTGAGATATTAACAGTCCTACACAGTAAAGTGAAATGTCCTCTACTTTTTCATATGGTTTGGTATTGTTAATTTATATTGTTAATCTACAGTAAAACTGAAGTTTGTCTGCACAGGATAAATGTGTCACAGTATTTGAATCCATGATAGAAAATAATTTTCTGTGGAGAATTTAAAAAAAATATTGCAATAAAAAATGCAAATATGTACATAACTAACAAGGATGGAGACCAAATGGATAAGTTGTGGGTATATGATTCTATGACTGATCCCAGTTAAGAGTGAAGCAGTGGCTTAAGAAAAATAAAAAAAATCCCCAGTATGCACAGGGAACATTATGCATGTCCAAGCTGCCAAGCACAGTCAGATTATGAATACGACCACTCTGTCATTTTTAACCCATAGATATAATGCTCCTAGAAGTCTCCTGATTTTTTTCTGAATTGTCACTTTGTGACAATTGTGCTTGTTGTGCTTGTAAAAGATGGTGTCTGACAGATGTCAATCAACTGGCCATGCATCTAGTCTACAGTGACTGCATTAGAGGAGAACTCAAAGCATCCTTTCATAAAGCCTACAGCCAACTACAAACTGAGCTTTTTTTGTAAAGGAAATGGAACAGCATGAACTGAAGCACTAGATTTCTCAATATAAACACCTAGTATTCAAAAACACACAGAAAATGAGATGGGAATTAGCTCAAACATTGATAAATGAAAAGTGGGTTTTGGTGGTGGTGAAGTTTTGTTTGTTTTTTATTTAATGTTACCTCCATCCTCAGTGGTAAGTCTTCTGCCTCTGTGATCTCAGAGCTGAAAGTATATTCAGATTCATTGCTACTGTGAGTCGAATCTGTTCGTTTGTGTCCAGGCTTGGGGATGTTCTAGAACGCAAATGAAACAGATTAATACAAATTAATACTACATGTTTCTTCACAATCTATAATTTAGCTTGTAATATTCTGTATTATTTCATAACTAGCACAATTAAGAAAGGTAAGAAAATGTTTGTGATTCTGGTCTCCCATGCTGGCTAAAGTCTGCAAGATATAGTGCACAGTTCAAAGATATGGAAACAGGTCAGCTCCTACTCCATCAAGTATTTGCTGTCAAAAGCAGAAGCAAGTGTTTTGTGGAAAAGAAAAGCTTGGTTTACAGGGAAGGAGCAGAGCCGGAAAGTGGAGGCAGTGACTTTCTGAAATTCCAGGGACAGGATTCTCCCTGCATCCTCCCGCTACACAGAAATCAGCAATGGCTAAATGTGGTTCAAATGACTCCGACATGTGCTAACAACTTCTGGGTTGTGAAGATAGAAGTTATGTGAATTACCACTAGCCACATCACAGTAGAAGCTTAACCTTCTTCCACAAAATTGAAAATAAGAGTATTTAACCACAAATTTAAAGTGGTTTTGACAGTACAGAGCATTTTCACTGAACTAATTTAATTAACCTGTACTTCAAAGAACAAATGCCGTTTTCAGATACAGATTACCACCAGACAGCTGAGGGCCAAAACAGGTCCTACCTAGATTAACTAAAAGACATTTAAGAGCAGCTTCTAATTTCTCAGATCTTTATCCACTTACCACCATTAAGTTCATTTCATCCTTAAGATCATCATAACGCTCTTCTAAGCGGCTGAACTCATTCAGCAGGTTCTGATACCGTAACCTTTCATCATTCAGATCCAGCTCCAGCTGTTTTGTTTCCTCCACTAGCTTCTTCTCCATCGTTTCTGCAATAGAGAAGGGGAAGCCCAAGTGACAACTCCATGTCTGAGTCACCTGCGGAGCATCTCTCCTGTGGGTGCGGGAGGTCCATGTACTCCAAGGACACAGGGGCTGAAAGGGGGCTGTGATTTGAAACCAGTAGGTGCTATTTGCACTTCTGTAGGTAAACACAGAGCCAAATACACAGAGGACCACGGCCTTATCATGGCAGCCACACAAGGGTTCACAGAAGGCTTCACTCAAGCTAGTGACTCTTCTGATGCCCTGCATTAGCACTTCCAGAGGAGAGGAAGGAGGAACATTAGGCCAGTGCTCTATTATGCACCAAGCAACCAAGAGACGCTCTATGCCTCAGGCACACTGATCCTCCTCAGCCCAGCTCCTCTGCACACCGGGCACATCTAGAGCTACAGTCTCCTGCCTGCTGACTAGGGAGCCAGAGCAGCACCTGCCGCAGCAGCTAGGAGGGCTCAAACGTTTTGGCTCACGTTTAGAATCCTCTAAAGAGGTAAGAGACTAGGAACATGAGCGTCTGCCTGCCCAGGCAGTACATTTGCTTCCACAGTTGATAGATCACACGAGAAGAATCACTGCATTAAATAGAAGAGCCTCCATTTATTAAGTAAAATGCTTTGTAACAGCAACCTTCATGAGAAAGGCCTCAAAAGCTTTCTGGGAATTCAAACGGCAAATAACTGTGATGTGATTAAGTTCTTATGTTAAACTAAACAGGAATACAGCTACAACATATTAGCAAAACCTAGCCAAGAGACTTTTGTTTTATAAGGTAACCTCAAGCTTAAGAGTGAAAAGAACCAACCTGTTATCTCCCTTGCCTGGTCATGGATGCGACGGTTCAACTCCTCCTTTTCGGTTTTCAGTAATGTGTTCTGCTCTTTCAGTTCTGATACAAGCTACAAAGACAGCAAAATATTTGACTGGGATCAGAATGCACTTAATCTCCCATCACTAGCCCTAACAGCAAATGCATCCTTGCTATAAGAGTTCAAATGGACTTTTTTTAACAGTTCCTCCTCACTGAAGAACACTGAGGAGTTTCCCAGGAGCTCCTCACTCCTTAGCCAGTGAGCTAAGTTACAGCATCGTCTTTTCTCAAATTACATTTATTTCATGCTCCTAGTGCAGATTCTCCCACATGTTCTACATCCCGTTTCTGCTCAGATGCTGAAACAAATTTAGACCACTTAATTGTGCCATAATATTTTGCAGGAAAATCCCTAAAGATGTAATTTATTGCTTAAAATAGAAATATTCCTAAAATAAGAACAAATGCAGTAGTTTTGTCATGCAATTCCATTGCTTTTGGTAAGATCGTAATCTAGCATCTTGTCTACACATGGAAGTTGAACCATTTTAACCATGCCAAGGTTTGTCAGGTCCTCATTTGCCTCTGTTTATGGTTACCATACCTTCATTGTGCCTAGTCAACCAATATTTTTCCTTATGCTCATGTAATCTTGAACTGCATCATTGCAGCAGAGCATAATGAAGACAGTGATCTACCACTATTCAAAACTGGCATTATATCAGTAGGTAAGTGTGGCAGGAAACAATTTTTTGATATGCTAGTGGTTAAAGCAGAGATAAGGGATCGGTCAAAACCTACTGAACTAGTCTGGACACACATCCATGCAGATGTGTGTGCTCAGCAGACTGATTGTCCAAATGAGGTAAGATAAACAGGTACCTTTGAAAACTGCACATACTTCTGAAATCTATACAGTTTTGTTGTCTAGGCAGATAAACGGATTTCTTTGTTTGAGAGCTCTGTCTCTTTGATTGAGTGAGCTTAGATATGTGGATTGCAAATATTTTCAGTTTTAAAACCTGAATAGATGTAATACCTATGTCTATATATGAAACAGATTTAATATATTCCTCTAGCAGAAGTGTAGTACTAGACCTATTTAGAGTTATACAATTATAACATTGCTTTAAAGTATTGTAAAAATCTCATAAATGCCATTTAAAATATTGTAAAAATGAAGGAAGTAAGGTCTCTGTAAACCATGCAAAGCACCAAGAAACAAGAGAGTATTTGCTTTATTTCTGTGCTTTATGGTAACATACAGCCTGTCTGAAATCATCTATGAATGCTACATAGGTACAGGCCAAAACACTACAGGTCAAAAACCTGTGACACAGACGGGCAGGGAAGCAGTAGCAGGATTGTTCTTAAGGGTCCTGAGAGCCACCTGCAGTGACACTACACTCAGCCCACTTGTAGGGATGCTACACTGATACACTGCACATCGCAGCCTGTGCTGCATCCTCCCACAGAAACAAGGGAAAAAGGGAAAAAAAAAGAAAAAAGGGACAATTTCAAACCCTCAATAAGATGCTGAACTCAATTAATAAGAAGTCAGCAACAGTAGAATAAAAGGGATTGCAGAAAAAAGAGATTACACCTAACTTTGTAGTATTTGGGGACTGAACACTTGCCTGCTCAGTTTCGTGTTTGTATTTGTCTGCCCATTCCTCGATGGTCTTCTTCTCGGTCTGAGTTTGGTGCAGCTCCTTGCGGAGCTTGGTGATCTCCTCCTGGAGGCTGAGCACGCGGTTGGTCGCGTTCTTGGCCTCCTCCTCGCTCATCCGAAGCCGCTCCACGTCGCTCCGCAGCCTCTCTGTCTCTGTATTGTACGTGATCTCCAGGCTACTCAACTTCTCCAGCAGAGATTTGTACTCTTTGTTCTTTGCAAAACACAACACAGACACAGCAGCAGTTGAAAATATTCTGGATTATGGGCGCCTTCTATTTGCCTACAGAATATACATAGATTGGGGAGGAAAAGAGCAGTTTTCCCATTTCCAAGAGTTTGTTTTTGCAGGAAAACTGCTTAAAGAGATGACAGAACAGTCCAGTCTCTAAGCCTGCACATTAATGTCCTGAATTCAAATCGGAAAAAAAAGCCCCCACACATCCAATGTGATCTTCTCACTTTCCCCATAAAGCAACTGAAAGGCTTCAGAGGAAGCTTGAAGCTAAAGGAGCAGATGTTTTCTCTCAGTGTTGCTGAGAGTTACAAGTGGATGCTCTGTTTCATTATTACTGTGGTCTCCTCATCTCATCTATCAATGTTCTTCAGCAAAGAAAACATCTGATCCCGTACAATGAAAATTCCAGGAATTTTCCAGTGAATGCGCACAGTGCTAATGAGGAGGATGAGACAAGACTTCCAGATAACTTCCCTGAGCAGGACGCCTTTACCTGATCATCGATTTTTCGTTGCAGCTGCATGATCTTGTTCTCCAAGCCAATGTGAAGCTTCTTGTAGCGTTCCACAGACCGGGCCTCTATCTTTAGTTTCTTTAGCTCCCTCTTGGCCATCATGCGCCGGTAACAGCATTGCAAGTAAACAATTGCCTTCAAGGTCCTCTGGTAATGCACTCGAGCCAGCCAGCCTCTGACATGTTTCTGAATAATAATAGACTTGTGCTCCCGAAGCATCTACAGTTAATAAAAACACAGCACAAGGGGCATTAGAGTTGCTAACTACACCCACTCAGCTAAGCAGTCTCCATAAAGAGAGTTGTAAAGATGATGTTACTAGAGGTACCACAGTCTGAAAACAAAACTGCTGGTACAGGAACAGGAAATGAAGAGAGAGTTAAAAAAAAAAAAAAAAAAGTGAAAGGAAAAAAAGGATGGGCCTAGGGAAGAAGACCAGGAAGGATCTAGATGAAAAACATGCAAAAAAAGGAACTGGAAACATATGGAAAAACTGGACATTCCACTGTGTTGATGTCACATCTGGGCTGATTACAACACTATATGGTACCTATTGACAAGACCACAAAATACAAACCAAGTGAGGGCTTGGTGCTGTTTTTTTTTTTTGTTGTTGTTGTTGCTGGTGGTTTTTGGTGTTTTTTATTTTTTTAAAACGATATCTTTATCTTGAAACATTTTAAAAATATTGATATATGCAGCACAGGCTTCATCAACACACAGTTTAAAACCACACTGACACATAGTGCAAACATTACATGCTACAGTCTGGAGCCCATTACAGTAGCTGCTAAGAATAACAGCTGTAGTCTACCTGAGTGACTACACTTTCCGTTTTTCCCTTTTTTGAGGAATTTCATTGACTAGCCTGCATAGAAAAATACCTTTCTCACTACTTTTTCTAATCAGAAATTCCATTCTGTATTAATTCCAACCTATTTCATGGGGTAAATTTCACCCATAACTTCAAGATGAAATTTTTTAAAATAATTTTTGAAGATCAACAGTCAATGCCAGCAACTTCTGTCAATGTGACAGCCAGAGATTCCCACTAGGAAGATTCTACTGCTTGGTTTTGTAACAGAGATGCGATCAGAGATGCCTGAGGTCTGAAGGACCTGAATTCCAGTGGACCACAGCTATGCTCGTAGAGCATGCCCAAACCCACAACACTTCCACGTCTCGGAGATCTTTGGAGTTCAGCTAACAAAGCGTCTGCAAACTAAACAGTTTTGTCCAAAGATTAAAACTGCTTAAGATTATACGTTACTTACAAGTTTTGGTATTTTGAAGACCACACAGAGTTCACATTCTTGCAATGATTTTCCACAAAGTTCATAAAACAAGCTAAGAAAATTATCTTTTATATTTCATAACAAACACACTGAAACGTGTTACGGATGTTATACTTTCAGATCAATGAATCAAATGACTCAATGGCAAGGAAGCAAGATTATAAGATAAATAAACTTTCTCCCTTAGCCATTTATTCTTAAAGAAAAATTGAGAAACTAACAGAACAGCACTAGAAAAATAACACACCTAGGTAAAAAAATGGAACTATTTAAAGTATAGAAGGTCAAAAGCCAAAGTCCTTCGAGTACACAACATGCGGTTGGCTCTCCTGGCTCCTGTTTCTCTTCTTACATGTTTACCAGAGTAGTTCTTCAGGTTACCTGCCGATGCCTTAATAACTCAAATGCAATTTGTTTTCAACATTATTTTCACCTCAAGTTTGAAAGCAACAAGTCACATAAAATACCTCCATTCTGTAGGGATGGTCCTCATCTGCCAGGGAGTTCTTATACACATGTAATCCAATGGTGAAAGAGTACACTCCCACAAAAGAATATCAGAAAATGTGCTCAGTTTATGAGCTATTTCCCAGGAAAGCTTATGTAAAAGCTCCTGCCAGACTGACAAACACACCTAAAAGCTTATGTAAAAGCTGTGGAGGAACTCAGCTCCTGCCAGACTGACAAACACACCTCAGTGGCTCAGGCAGCAGTTCCCCAGGACGTACGAAACAGATGATTCAGCCATTTCAAATTCCTCATATTAGCCACGTGACTGCAACACATGCCTTCTACTATTATAAAAACAACAGTCTCCTTTCACAACCCTAATGAACCCACGTGCACCATAGGTAGAGTCACAGTTCAACCCAGGGTGCTGTTGCAGGACAACCTTTCAGTTTCATTCAGCTGCAATCCTCAGGAATTTCAGAACCACCATGTTAATCTTAGCATGGCCAAACTTGTGCTTCTTTCTGCAGACATTCCTGTATCTTACTTTTAATAAAATTCCACCTTTCGAGGGCACTATGTACACACTACACATAGGGCACTTAATACACATTCCATCTGTATTACCAGAATTTCATGTTTTACTGAAAGGAATAATTCACTGTTCTAGGGGGATACTCCTTGACAGGCAAGTCCGCCCACCTCTTACGGAGGTGTCTCTAAAATCTGCATCTCTATTAAAAGGAAATGTAACAGGTTTATAAATCAATGTGCTACCGGACAGATGCCGTGTATATCAGCCACACAACTCATTTCAGGAGTACAGAATCATCTTCCAGTTTCCTAATGGCGACCTTTCTTCTACATATTAATGTGATCCCTCTATCAATTTAACATGAAGTTTATTCCTTTCTGTACATTAGCTGAATCACATCTATCAGATTACTGTTAAAAATATGTCCTATATCTTCTAACAACATAAAATACTAAAACACTGAAAATTCTAATAAAAAGGCATACCTACAAAAATACACGCCTACGAAAAAGGACAACCGAGGCAAGCACAAGGGACAAAACTTACTACCTAGAAATTCTGACTGGGGATTGTTTGTTTTCAAACCATCTATTAATGTATGCTAAGATGCTATGCAGACACGTACACATATGATTGTAGCTTTAAAACAAATAAACACGTGGAAACAAATAAAATAAACATGTGGAACATAATCACTAATTAACTTTTGAGTTATATTCCTTTCATATCTGTTTGAGAAAAAATAAAACCCTTTGAATAACTTTTCTGTGAAACATAGGCTCTTGAACCTAGTTCTGTAGAGTCTCACAGACAAAAAGAGCCTCGAAAAATGCTGACATATTACGGTCTAACCCTCTAAACTATCATTTGGTTTCCAGTCCAGTAACCACTGAAGAATAAATTCTAATTTCTCTAAGGATTTTTTTAAAATATATATCAAGGATAGTCAAGAAAATGTTATCAATATCATCAGGACAGGCCTATATCAATTTCTCTCCAAAATAAATTCAGCATTAATATATAACACCCCCCAAACACACTTAAGTTTTAATCTCCTATTTCTATGGGTATCTGCTTACTAACATTAATCTTGTTCAGTATATTCCATCAATCACACTTTTACACCGCTTCACAAAATCACTGAAATAAGGGAAGAGCAGTGCATCATATCTACATTAATGTCAGCAATACTAATTTGGATTTATGAAGGTGTATTCACACAAGCAAACTTTCAGTATTTATTTTAAGGGCCTCAACTTTCTAAATAATGAACAAAAAAACTTTCTCAAGAGGAGTGCTCTAAGTCTAGATGCTAGATGCTCCTCTGACTGTAAAGTGCATTCAGGTTAGATGACAAGTGAGCATCTCTAAAATGACTAGTTCACTGACTGCAGTACCAGATCTTTCTAATTTCTAGGTGTTGTGCTTCAATATATGCTTTGATATCTTGCATAACAACACGCTCACAGACATTTCAGATTCCCCTGGGAACACCACAGAGCAGCTTTCCCCAGAAGGTATGTGGGAGGTGAAGCAGAAACACATTAGGATTTCTTACCATTTGGTATTTGTTCCTGGCCATGTAACCTCTTAAGAGAGACTGCAGAGCAATCGTGGCCGCCCGCATGCGTTGGTATCTTTTGCGGACCACGTACATGCGCTGGAACTTCTGAATGGTGATGGCAGCCCGTGTTCTCCGCAGGAACTTGGCATAGCTATGCGAGGAAAAGATACAGATTATACCTGCATTTATTTTCCAATTCTTCAATACTATTTTACATCCTGTTACTTGACTGTCTTAAGAGCTGCATATTCTACTTCAGATTCTCCAAGTCATCAGCAGTACAGCATATTTACTTGCTATTCTACCATATGGCAACATGACAGAATAACAAATGAACAGAAACGTTGCAAGTTTGTCAAGGAAATGTTTTCACTTCCTCTAAGAACTGTGCTATAGAACTGACAGATAAATTCAGCTTCATTTCTCATCACCTTGTCTCCAGTCTTAAAGCTGTTTCCACTACAGCTTTCCACCTTCCAGGTTTCCTCTCCTAACTCCTAGATGTAGAAAATGTTTATTCTCTCAGCAAGAGAATTACACAGTATCCTGACACTCCCTTCCAAGGCACACTCTTACCATCTTTGTAACCACCTTGCCTTCCAATGACACTACCCATCCTCTACTCTTTTCCCAGGCTCATCCAGGGTCATCCCTCACCTGTCAATCCAAAGGAAGGATTCTAGCAGATACAGCTCCCCCCACTGCTGCACCCTGTATGAGCAACAGCTTCTCCAGCAGTACAGGCAAAACTGAACTGGGAGAGCAAGAAAAAGCTGGGCAATAAAATTCAGCCCAAAGTCCAGGTTTTCCTCACCTGCAGACACATCTCCTACTAGTCGTTTTAGCCCAAAGTCCAGGTCTGTCCAGGCAGACACATCTCCTACTAGTCGTTTTATTCTATTCAAACTAACAGCACACTGTCCTAAGCATCACGCAGCCATAAAGCTAGCATTTCCATATGAAGGTCAGAAACAGGCAGAAGAGATAACACTTATTATACTCTTCTTCCTTCTTTCCACTGTGAAATTATTCCCTCTTAGCCAATATCAGAGGAGAAAGAAGTAGCATCACATTTAAATGTCCTACTTAGAGGGATCTGAATCGAGGCTAGCGTGGGTTTTCCCAAGAGGATTGCTTACCATCGTGCTTGGTACCCTCTGACATATCTCTGAATGGTGATGGCAGCCTTCCTCATACGCAGGTACTTCTTCCGCATCAGCCAGCCTCGGATGGTCTTTTGGATGCGGATACAGGCAGCTCTCAACTTATCTGCCCTTATTTTTTCTAGATAGGCTACCTGGCCAGCCCGGAAAAATATTTTTGTCTTGCCAAACTGGTACTTATCCTTGTCCTATTTTCAGAGGTAAAAAGACGATCAGTTATAGGATTAAAGGTTAGTGGATTTATTAAAAAAAAAAAAAAAAAAAAAACTAAAAAAAAAGAAGTCTAAACAAAAGTACAGTTAGTAAAGAGGTAAAATGATGTGTAATATTTCAACTAAATCTAGACTTAAATTAGTTAGTGGAGGAAAGTATTTAATTCTACCATTTTCTCTGTATGACTCTCTTAAATAAATAAGGCTACATGTAGGGCCTTAGGGAATAAAACATGAGGATATACAAGAGCACCACGAAGTTTGTAAGAGACTTTGAGAGTAAGGAAAGTGAGCAAGTGGCCCAGGGGATGAAAGTAATTTAAAAATAATGAACATTTGCAATTTATCTCCACCTCTTCTCCTCTGCATGGTCCATCTTCAACCATACTACACTGTATAAGGGACACAGCTGAGACTTCAAACATGTATTTATCATTTACTGCACTAAGACAAGGCAGGTAGGAAATGGTGAGAGGGCTACAAGATTGAAAGAGTTTGACTTTAATATAGGAGTTCAGGAGAGTGAAAGACCCAAACACATATACCCAGAAAGAAGCAGTTCCACATTAGAAAGCTTCCAAAAAGCCTTCAGAGTTAATACACTCTGCTGCTAATCAAGGCAACTTCCACCCTCAACACACATTTAAAATCTCCATCTTACTTTCCTCTACATTCCCTATACAGCAATACTGGAGCTATACACCAAAGAGCTACTTTATTTTATTATAGTAAGAATTGCTTTTCCTTAGGAGGAGCCAAGCCCTACAGCTTCAAAAGATCAATGAACAACTAGTACAGCATTTAGAAAACCTATGACTTCTTGTGCTAACATTGGATGACTGGTAGTTTTATAAAATACTAAAACTGTATAATTATTTACAAGCTGGTAGGGGGAAGCTCTCTTTAACCCTTCAGATTCTAAAGATTATTTAAGCACTGAGTTTAGTACCAAAATGAGTTTCTCCAGGACATTTTTACATGTCTGCTTTCTGTCACTAAGGACATCTTTCTGCTTCATCAGAACACGGTAACGACTGAAGAACTCTTGGTATGTCCACCTGCACCAAAAAACAGAGTCAGGGTCAGCCCAAACAGTGAAAACCTCTCTCAACATCAATAGGTGCTGCTGAATGTCATCTAGAAAAAAGCAAAATATACCTTGAAGGGAAGCCAGCTGCGCTGATTCGGATGGTTTCCAGGACGCCGCAAGCCCGAAGCTGCTGTACCGCCCGTTTTTCATCAAATCTATTTAAGAATAAAGAGAGCTCATCAACAGATTTTTGAGGAAAGCTCTAGGCAATTTAATATATAAAAAGATAAGGAATAAGAATATGCAGAAACAGATTCCAGTCAAAGAATGCAAATGTCAAGTGAACTCTAGGAGTGCAAACTATCAGTCAAGCTCAAAACAGGAAGCAATGAAGCTGCAGATACTTTTACTCCTACATCATAACGAAAAAAATACTCCTCCAGAAGCACTTTTCCTTCTGTTCAATCCAAAAAAAAAAAAAAATCTCCCATCTAAGCACATGTAGACACACAGTAAATAGATAACAACAGAAATAAGACATGCCATGTCATTCCTGAGTGAGCAATGGCCAGCAGAGCTGTGATCCTCCAAGCACTCGGGCCATTCCCCCACTCAGAGTCAGGCCTACATGAACCACACACGACCCAACTTACGTGAATGGAAACTTGAAGTCATTTGGCTTAATACATCGCACGTAGTGGGGAGTTGTAGCATTGAGGGTCTCCATCAGCAGATGGAGCGAGTTTCGAAACTTTATGAAGAAGAAAAAAGAAATATTATCAGGGAACAACCTGAATGAGGTGTTCATGTTTGAAATAATTTCAGAAAGGGGATCTCTTGATACTTGCTTATTTGTCATAGTGATTGTGGTAGTAAACACAGCACCAACTTTTTTTTTTTGTGGCAATAGGTATTACAGTTTTAGATACCATCTTTAAGCAAACTGTGTTATAGTGAGACTTCTAAATGTTAACCTCTATGAAAGTAAAACTACCCTACAGGCATGTGATAAATTATAAAAAATACATGATAGATAGATGAAGCTATTTTCAGCTTATGACCATCTCATTTACTTTACCCTAATCTTTGTCTAATCCACCTGATCATGTTAAAACCTCACAGCAAATTAAATAGCTCTTTAAGTAATTTTTAAATCAAATTTTAAGTTAGGAAAGCATTTAAAAAAAAAAAAGAAAAAAGAATTCCTTTAGCCCCACTGACCCCAGTGTCACACCTCCAGGGGCAAGGAGTTACACTTCCAAACTCACCTGATGTCCCACAGTTTTCTTATGTTCCTTGCTGGTTTGACCCGGCCTGGTCTTCGCTGGTTTTACAACAGTCCGAGACAACGGCACCCGGCCCGAAGGGGCTGCAGACGTGGGACTGAGGACCTTCTCCTCCTCCTGGAATAACTCCGGTAGCAGCTTAAACTGGTGTAACAGCAGGAAAAAAGATGATAGCTAAGAGCCCAGCAAGTGATTCCACCCTTTTCTATTTAAGATATTAGAATCCAAGCTCAGGTTCTATAAGCAGTGTTTTCTCCTATCCCATGTGGGAAAAATGGGAACAAGTGCAAAAAGCATTTAAGCTTTAAGTGTAGCAAGTTTACTAGTAATGTAATACTAGGATTTTCATGGTTTTGATCAGTGATTCTCCTTCTGAATGTAGAATTCTGATTTGTGTTTCTTTATAGAGTCAGCAATAGCTTCCATCTGAAATTATTAGATACTGAGAGCAGTTTTGTAAGCGCCAATTGCAATTATATATAGTTACTTTGATGTTAGGAGGACACAAAATGATCCTCTCCTATTTCAGTGATGCACAGGACTCCTTGCAGTTGAGAAATTTTCTAAGTCGGGACACTGAATAATCCAACAGGCAAAGAATATTCCTGCTTTATCACTCTAAAATGAAATAATCAACTTAAAAGTTGAGAAAGAAAAAAAAAGAAAAATCTTCCCAATTATCACCCAGGGCTTCTGGTTTTTAACTATAAACAGCTACAAAATGCACCCAAGTATAATAGCCACTTTGAAGTAACTTGTAACTACAAATAATACCATCAGGCCTTTCAACTGACAAATTTATCCCTTCAGAAACGTTATAGGTATAAGAAAGCTCAAGCTTCTCTACCTGTCTCTACCTGTCAATGAACAATCTTCTATCTAGCATCTGTGCATTTTCTCCCAAGAGACTCCCAAGAGCATTCAATTTTCAGTAATAGAAAGCGCTTGGGCTAAGTACAGCCTAAAAAATAACAGTAATAATAATAAAGGTTTTGCCTTATAAAACTTGGTGAACATGCGTAATGTGAAACATGCTGTGCAAGAAAATGTTTGTGCTCAGTGGTTGTACCAGATGGACTAGGCAAAAGGCACCAAACACTCCTCAGTAGCTCTAGCACAGCACTCCAGCAGAATATCATGACTGTGAACACCACAAAGATATCTTAAATCCTTTAACTATAAGAGGAGTATCACAGCTCAGCCTTATCTGATCTGAGTCTGCTAGATTAAGAACATGGTCACCTCAGATTATCTCTTTAACTGACGGAAGAATGACATCTCCAGAGGGCGATTTAGCCCATCTGCTTCCACTGATTCAACGCAGAGCTGAGGATGACGAGGCCACCAGCACCTCAGTGGCGCCCCGCAGCCAGCCGGAGCGAACGTGTGCTCAGCCTTCCTTGCTACTCTGCCAAGTCTCTCCATCGCACAGGTAAACTCACTTAAATCCAAATATGCTTTGCCTCCAAAGAAACTGCTGATGCTCTAACACGAGAGGGTGCAGGGAGGGTGTCCCTCAGTGCCTGGATTGCTGATGGATCAGATCATCTCAGGAAGCAAGTACATAAGTCTCATTCCCTCTTCCACTCTAGGGAATGTCTGCCTGTAAAAACGGGCAAGTGCCTTTCAAAGTCACCATTTTCAAAGACACTGCCTCGGTTATTGGGTACAAAAGATGCCCTGCATACGGCAGTGTATCCCCTCATCAGCAGAGGTCTACAGCTGCACAGCACTGTTGAGAAGATCCACACTGTCCGGGGTGTTTCTGTTTTGTTTCTTTTTTTACCATCTCGTCAGTTTTCTTGGTTTCACAGAACACTAGCAATGTTCAAGGAGGGAGGAAACACTGATCAAAGGGCAGATAATTCACATGGTACAAAATAAGCATTTTCTCCCTGTGAATTTTTCAGGTGACTTAACCGACAGGCTGACAACATAACCTAACAGATCATTTATCTAACAGATCATTTATCATTTATCATACAGAACAATATCACGAAGATTTCTACAGCATGCCAGTAGCAGGCAAAAAAGCCAATAACTATCATATTACTTTCATGACAACATGCATGGAAACGGAAATAGTTCCAACAGACCCTGTGGGTGGATTGATAGAGGAAATCAGCATATACAGCTGAACACTACAGAGCCTGCCAAGAGGAGCACGCGCGTCATGCACCGCGCAGAGCAACGCAACGTTCTAGCTATGTGCTCATGTCCCTAGAAGCAACACTGTGCATGAACAGGATGACAAATGATGCATTCCATTTAGAATTACCTTCTGTTGAATTTGTACAGCAGACCCAGAAGAAAGCAACAAAACAAATTAAAAAACAGAAATATTCTCCTACTATAATTACTAACAAAGACAGTCTCCTGAAAAATACAAATGAAACATTCTCCTTTTGAAAAATGTATTTCATTCACAAATGATTTTTTTCCTGTGGAAAACATTGGTTTTGGTAAAATTTCCATAGAGGAAAAACATGTTTCTTAATGCTCAGACTGAACAGGCTCAACCCACTGACCTGCCCAAGCTTTGCTACGCTCTTACGGGAGCTGGGTGTCCCTCCTGCTTTGGCAGAGCGCTGTGTGCCCCGCTCCCCGCGCTCTGCAGCACAGCGCGGGTGATACCGCCGCGTCCCACGCACACGGCTGGCTGCGGCTCAAAACAGCTCAGCGCTTCCCAGTGCAAACTTTGCTGAAGTTTTCTTTATACTACATGTTTTGACCATTTAACTCCTTATATCTGCTGAGAATATGTGCAGGGGAAAAAAAATGTTGAATTTCCTGATAGAAGAGTAAATGCACTGCCCTGATAATTGCATATAGTCTGTCCTTGACACCAAGCTTCCTGGGACAGTAGAGCTAGTTATTCCCAACAGCCATGATAAAGCAATGTTGAGTTAATTGCCTTCACATTTCAGAAGAGCGCAATTAGCATTTCTGCCATAAAGTAGGCAATTGCCACTGAGCACCAGTTTTTTAATATTCCTTCATCTAATATTTTTCAATTCAGATGCATCTACTCATAAATATCAAAATGATATTTACCACCCCTATAGATTTCCTTCCTCTCTTATTTTTTTCCACCTGGAACAGAATTTTTATTTTCTATTCAACTGTCAGGCCAAAATCAGGAAGCTTCTACTTTCAGATTAAAACATCATCATCAACAAATCAAGGTCTTAGCTAGTAAGTCTTCCTTCACTCCTACTGTGCATAAGGAGCTCATTACACCTTTACAAAAAATATAGCCAAGTTTTATGGAAAGCTAAAAAAAAAAAAAAAAAAAGGAAAATTTTTTTGAATTTTGATCCACTGAAATCTGTGGCTAAACATAGCCTCATCTTACAAGGAGGAAAACCATGCTACAGGACCTTCTAAATTTGTAGCATAATCAAATAAAACATGAACTATGCTTATTTTCAGGTGATCTGACACTGAGGCAAAATTTTCCTAGAGTTCTGAGAAATTTCATACTAAAAATGACCCTGAACTGAGGACTTCTTAATAGGAAAAGGAAATAAAAATCCTTATACTAACCTTGCTTGATTTTAGGACCTTAATTTGTTCTTCATAAACTGTGTCCTTATTCTTTTCCAAAAAGCCTTCGCATTGATATTCCACCTGGAAATAATCATTTTACAAAAGTAAGCATTAGAAGTAGTTAATATGAATGTTTTGTAAGAATTCACCAGTGGTAGGGCTCACTTTTAAAACAGGTAATTCCTGTGGATGTTGAAAATAGTCTTCCAATGTGTCTAAATTAAATACAGATTTTGCTCAAAGAAACTGCATTTCAGGAAAGCATGAAAACATATAGAAATGAGCAATCCTACTGCAATGCTACTGCAGCTGAAGTGCGTTCTAGAGGGATGCACAATTCACTGGTTACCGTGGCGCTTTGTCGGGCGTCTCCACTCTGAAGTTCCCAGGGCAGCAAAACCACATGAAACCCAAAAGCAACTCAGAAGAAAGTTACTCATGTCACCAGCTGAGATACAACAAGTAAATATGTCTGCAATTTATTATGAAAATGTTTTATATGTGCTATTTTTTTCCAGGATTAAAAAATAAAAAGACTGAATGTTGTAACAATGCACAATCTTCTTTCACAGGGCCATGGATTCTCCTGGACCAAAGAACAGCCAGGTCTTTGAATGAGAACCTGACAGATCACTGTTTTAACTGGAGGCTGCACAAAATAGAAAATCTATTGCCAAAAAACTATACCTGAGAATGTTAATTAGCATAAATATTCCAATGCTTGCCAAATGTCTCATACACTAACTGTTTGAAGGAGGATCTTGAATCAGAAGTGCAGACTACCAACTTCAAGAACAGACCCTCTGATCAATTTTGTTCTTTCGAGCAGATAGATGGGAGCCGGCAGCAGCTCCCTCTCAATCCTGCCATTTAACAGTGCTCACACAGTGACACTGTTGTGGAAACTGCAAAAAAAAAAAAAAAAAAAAAAAAAAAGTAACAAACATATCCTAAGGGGAAAAATAATAATAAAAGGTAGAGGACCTGCCCAGGGTCCATCCACAACTGCACTCCTGCCCTGCTGCTTTGGGTACCGCGGACGGCTGGCACTGACGGCGGTTGACGCAGGGCCACCAGAGGGCAGCAGGATTTCTGTTACTGACACAAGGACAAGATGGACAAGACGGGCACAGAGTTTACTACCCTGCCTGCAACAGCTTCGTTTTTCCTTCTCAGTGTCTGTGTGCACTCTTGTAAGCATAGGTGAAAGGGCGTATCGCTCAGCAGAGATACTGCACAAGAGTTTAGAGCTCTGCTGATACCTGCTCACAGCTACTTTTAGCTTTTCTTGGACCACATTCCTCAGAGCAGTCCTAGGAAAGCCCTATTTTCAAACACTGAAGTTTAGCCTATTTAACAAGATATTAAATTCTAATTATGTCCTTCTTATTCTCCCATTCAGCAAAGAAAAGAGAATTCCTGAGTCTAACAAGAACATTTCTGTAACTGTTTACTTTCCTTAAGGAAACATTAGAAGCAGGATCTCCCTTCTAGCTGCAAATTCAAGGACTTGGAGGAAATAAAGCCGAGACAAATAACAGCTGCCGATTCTATAAATTGGAGCTATAGATAAAAATTGCAGGATATTTCTAAGCACTGAACAAACTTCTTGTGGCAAATCTGACAAAATTCTCAGACAGCTGCTTTGTTCAATAAAATATTACCTTGAGTTAATTTTAACTTTAGTCTGAAGAGTTGTTCAGTCTGTGCACATGGTCCCAGTCTAACAAAACATGCACTGCACTGAACTACTTGTCTTTCAGCTCACTAGAAATGACTGTTCACTTAGCAGCTGAGGTAAAGTGTGGAAAAAGTACATATTGCTCCCGTGATAAGAAGGGTGTGTGAGCCTCTTTCTTGTTTGCACATTAAAACGGTGACAATAAAGAGGAATTTTGTTCTTGCTCTTTAGCAAAAAAATGCAGTGAGGTGTATGGTTTTCTATCAGATGTAGTGCAACTGAAGTTTGTACAATTATGTTGTAACTTGCAAATACACGAAGCTGTTACGTTTTGAAGGAAGGATGGCGAGTGCATAGAGCATGTGATAGGAGTCAGGAGCTCTTGTTTGGGTTCTGCTGCCAGGTCAACTTCATTCTTCTGTTCTGGTAAGCGACAGGCACAGCCACAAACAGAGGTGGTAACCTCTGGCACAGCTACCCCTGGAAGCGTATGTCGGTCTGCAGTCTGAGCTCTGTATCTTCTATCTCGTCTGCAGACAGGTGGTACCAGTGTTCAAAGTGTTTCCAGGCATAAGTTTCATTCTGAGTCAAGAGGTAGTCCAGTCTGCTACCTGCCTGAAAGAGCCACTTATTTCAACCTTCCCATTTGCCCCCTGCCCCTGCCAGTCTTAGTAATCTGAACTTTGGAAAAGAAGTACCAAAATAATTTTTAAAAATCCTTACCTTGTCAGCAAAGTGCTGGATGATAAAAGCCTTATTTGACAAACGTGGTTTTTCAAAAAGGGCACATTTATTCAAGTGAGTATTGTATAGTTTTTGGGCCCAAGTGTCATCTGAGCCTTTTGGCATCTACATAAAAGAACACAAAACACAATTTAAAATTTCCTGAAAAATATTCCATAGTGGAAGAAAAGAGGAAGACTATACTTGTGTTTTGCTTTAAAACTCCATCTCCACTTCAACTCTAGTGATTTCCAGTACCGAGTAACCAGTTATTCACACACTTAAGGCCTGCTTAAGTGTAGTGTCTCCTACAGACCCCACAATACTCAGAGCTGTCTCCTTCTTCATGACTCTCCATGCTGCTTATAAGTTATTGAAACACCAAGAGGAGGGAGAAGAAGAAAGAAGGTAGAACATAGACATAAAATATATAGCACATATGATGCTAATAATGCTTTCTGTGTCAACACATGTAAAAGCAAGGACCCAGGAGGTCTATTATCTGAAGTGGTGCAGTTCTGACCCACAGCACTTTAGCAGGCCAGAACCATCATTAGAAATTTGGTGATGCTGTCACACACGCAGAAAAACAAGGTGAGATGGTGAATTAGACACCACACACCATACAATGAAGAAACAGTGCCAACTATATGGCTTACATAAAGTAATCTAAGATAAAAAAACAGAAGGTGAGACTTCAAGCAAGAGGTGACCTTAGGAAGAATTTGAGAGATGAAGATTCCATTTGTTACGCTCAAGGTCAAAGTTGCCATAGTCAAAATAGATGTTGATCAGAGACCTAAGAGCCACAGATACTAAGATGGAGAGGGAAAAAAACCCACAAAAACAAAACCCACAAAAAAACACATGAGTAAGACTACTCCTGTAATTCCAACTCTAAATTTCAAAATTATTTCAACAGCAGAAGGTCAAAATAATGGTTATGTGCTGATGACTCTTCTCTGTTAGGTTCCAGAAACGGGATGTCTCATGACTTCTTTCAGGCTGCAACACACACCTTACACTCCTCATCTAGGAGATCCAGAATTCCCATTTTGGCCTCTATGAGGTTAATGCAAGGCTGATTGTCATAGAAATCAATCAAGGTCCATGGTATTTGTTCTTTCATATATTCTTCCTGTTCCAACTTAAAGACATGCTACAGGACAAAAAAAGAGAAGAGTTTTTTTTTTGTGAAATAATACTCAGGAAAAAAAGAAAAAAAACCACATAGAACTCTCTCTTGAATTCTTCTCAGCACATTAATCCAGGCTATCATGTGACACACAAGTTCAATGAATAAACCCTTTGGCAATTAAGTGCATGAAAGATGAATTAACTTTGTTTTACTGACATAGAAACAACAGACTAAATTAGAGCATTCTTCAGTATTCTCTGAAAAGAATGGTTATTTTTTCTTATCTTATATATATATAACATATATCCCCACAATTACTATAAGCTGCTATTATTTAAAAATATGCAACCCAGAAAAAGCCTCAAATACAGGAATAGCAATTTATAAAATTGTATGTAGCACACTTGTGATTTCACTATATATACTTCAGTGTTTTCTTGTAAAAGAACAGAGTTCCATTTCCTCTCAAATGATAACTGGTTTTTTTCTGAGATGATATATTGCATAAAAATATACTCTGGCAAGCAAAAATCTGAAAGAATGACTTTGACCATCAGCACAAGAAGTTTTTTAAACAACACTTTGGGAAAATTGTGTCTGGTACAAAGAACAATAAAATGGATTTTTTTTTTTTGGTAAAAAAAAATCACAAAAAACCTGCCCATCTTTAATGAAATATGTAGAGGAGATAAAATGAAACTTTGGAAAAAAATGAATAGCAAGAAAAAATAATAAACAAGCAAATTATGGTCTTAATAGCACAATTTTTTTTTAATAAAAGACTGCTGAGCCCAGTTATTTTAAACTATGCTTTATTTCCATTTAAATTTTAATATATACTAGCTGTTATATCTTAATAAAGACCAACATCGTTTCCGACATCATTTAGGGGATCAACACAAACACTTCTTCTTAGAACAGTGGTACTTAATTAGCCTTTTAATTCAATGTGGAAGTCTATAAACACTCTGTACCTGTAGCTCTCCAGCACACATCAGTGAGATTGCAGAAAGTTATCCTGACAAAGCAGTTTATCCCCTTTGTTTCATTAGCTTAACACAATCCTTTCCAAAATAGCATTCCCTGAAAGTGCTCTTGGGACTCATCCCACATGCTAGTCACTTAACAGCTGCCTTACATGCTAAGCTAATTCCTGACAGAAAAGTAAATGATAAAATTTTATAGGCAAATCATATCCAAGCTATCTAAATCCTAAAAAAAAAAAAAAACCCATAAAACTATATCCTTACAGTAAGGAAAATAGCAATTATGCATTAAAAAATGTCTTTAGATATTTGGCTTGCATCTTTTTAATCTTCCCCCAGCACCAAAAGCCTCCACAGAGAGACAAAGTGCTGGATAAGGGAGAGAGGCAGGAGTGAGGGGTCAGCACCCCAGACCGTGGTTCTCCGGGAGCCCCAGCTGGTCCAGGAGGGCTAGTGACAGCCCTCTCCTAAACAGCCCTCAGCCTCCGCGCTGGCAGCGGGGATCAGTCACAGGGGAACACGTCGAGAGAGCAGAGCTTTGGCAGCTGACTAGGAAATCAAAGTACGTACAAAACACAAGGCCCTTTGCCCTCTGCCTTGTGAACTGAGTGCTGAGAGCAACGACTTGAGACGGGAGAACACGGGCACAGAGATCAGCACTGAAGTGAACCCTGACAACGGTCACAGTGACTGAGCTTTTGTTGCAGAGCTGAGAAATCTCAGAAAATCCTTAAAATTAGCAGTTATGAAATCTGGCTTATGGAATTGAAACCGTCTGCAGGGCTATAAATATAGAAGGCACTTTTTGGAGCTGGAAAGCTCAGCTCCAGTTCCGACAAACAGCTTACTTCCCATCAGGTATATCTGCTGCTGGGATTAACAGTTTTTTGGGGTGATCCAATTCTGCAAATACGCACCACTATTGAGATGCATTTGTAAATATAGTTCAAAGCTATTTCAGTTCTGCAGTGGAGCCAAGCAACAGAACTGGCATAAATAACTTGGTTCTTCATTCCACAGGTAAGATATATATTAACAACATCACTAAGCCTGAGGAGAGAGAGAAAAGGAATTGTGTCTCTCTGAAGGAGGGAGATGTCTCTTACTGCATGACAGTAATCAACTTTAAGAGGTGGCTGTAAACCCTCACAAAATAAAGCCAGTTGCACCAGCAGAGGAAAACGAATGTGGCAGATTTCCAGCAGTGTATTTCTGCTCACTGCTGTCAGTGAAGAGGTTCTCACTGGAGGTTATAAAGATACAACTAACTCCAAATTCATCCACATAGTACTCTCATTGACAGGCAATCTCAGGGTCTTAATTGCAAAGCACTGCTTCTGTCTTATAATTGCTACAGTGATCAGAATTTCAAATAGTCCCAGAGTAGCAGTTAGTCATAAAATCTATTTCTAGGAGATAGTCAATCTTCCCCATTCTCCCAAAGCCCATAGACAGGACAGCTGGTTAATAGACTGCAGGAATTCATCTTAGCCACTGGGGACTCAATTAGCAGAATGGACTTTGGTGAGAGGACAGAGAAAAGGAAATGCCAGTAATTTCCTACTTACCATATTGAACTGTTGCTGCAGTTTTTCATTGGCATAGTTGATACAGAACTGCTCAAAGCTGTTGATCTCGAATGTCTCAAATCTAAAAAATGCAGATATTCAAAATTACTAGTGCTGTGGAGGAAAAAAAAAAAAAAAGACCCTATAATTTATAATTTCTTCTCTCCAAATTCATTAAGTTATCCTAGGGATACCAGGAAATGAAACAGACAGGGAAATGCAGTACAAGGGCAATTCAGAGTTGCTCCCTCTTCTGTCTGCTGGAGTTGATGAGGAACACAGAGGGATGGGTGCTCCTTGATGCATGTTAATTACCTTTGCCTTCTCTGAAACTGCACCCCTGGGGGAACCCTCAGATTACAATTCTATTGTAATATTCCCCAGTGCAATACATAGAGCAAAAAAAAAAAAAATCCAATTATAAATGTCAAACCTGAAACCCAAGACAGAGATCTTGTATTCATGTCAAAATAAACACCTACTTCTTTAAACTGGAATAAGTAGCTGCTAATGTTTTTGGTTTAATCCACACAACACTACATGATAATGACACTCTGCAGTGAGATAATTATATCATGGAATAAAGACTCACCCATAAATGTCCAACACTCCAATGAATGAATGCTGTTTTACAGCAGAATGCAGGGCTTTGTTCACATGATCTACAATCCAGTTAAAAAGATTAGCATAGATATGTTTGGCAAGTGCATCTCTGGCATTGATGGCATGAAGTTTAGAAATGGGTTTGATGTAGGTTTCAGTGGCAGTGGCGAGCTTCCGATGGCAAAGCCAGTGGGCCATCTCTTCGTACTCCACACCCATGAGGTCACAGAAGATGCTGAGGGGTTCATGTTTGGGCTAATAAAAACAAATTTGTTAGGTCTTGAAACAGCGCTACCAAAAGCACATACGAAATCACGCAATCAGAAGAACTGCCTGCCAGAAGTGATCTAATGTTAAGCAGCAGCTGCATACTTTATTAGCTCTTCTTCCCTCAAAATGTAACAATTTCCCTACCCACTTATCACATTTACATCGCTTGAGTAAATACCTGAATCACAGTTTCCCCAAAAGGCATTTACTATATTTGTGTTCACCAAAAAGCCCCACACAAGGCACCCACGAGCTTCCCAGAAATGAATCATCTAACTTTGCAAGGACAGGCTTTGTATTTTGAATTCTGATAACCACTTGTTTCAGTTTTGAGTAAAGAAAATGGAGAGATGACAAGGGCAAGACAGCAGTTGTGTGCTGAGGACAGCATGGAATTAAACACCCGAGCAACCCTCTCATCTACTCACATACATCCATGGCTGGGATCTACACATAATGGGCCATCACAGACCAAGTTAAGAACGAAGAGGTATGGAAAGGCTTTAGCATTCTGGCCTCATAAATTAATATATCGACAGACCAGGCAGCCACATCAGCTGCAGCCTGAGGACTTGTCTCAGCTCCATAAGCTGCTACTGCAGATACTTGAGAAAGCAACCTTCAAACGCTATTAATGTATGGAGAGAGAGAAAGATGAAGGCTCAATGGTCCATTCAGTAACTTTCAGGGAAAGGTAAAATGAGAAACTGGTCATTTGGAAGTCCAAGAAAGAATAACAAAAGGAAAATAAGCCATATGCCTTTTTTTAACTCTTATCTCCACAATATGAGCTCCAGTAAAAAGCTTTGGTCCTCACTGACACTGTTTTTCAGGGACTTCCCATTTCCCATTGTTGACCTCCAGAGAGATAAGAAAGGTCTGAAAAAACCATGACACACTTAAAAGTTACATGAACCACTGCTTTTTGGTATATCCTATACTCTCCTCTAGATACCTCAGAGAGCTTTGAGAAATGTCTGATTTGAAATTATTTAACATAAAATAACTGCAAACCACTTACCACAGGCAGAGAAACTATGCAGGAATATAAATATCTATACACCTGTCCAGCACTTCAAAGCTAATCTGCCTCGGAGAGTTTTCTAGGACAGACCAATTAGAATTCTGGACAGAAATTAAGAGAGCCACAATTATAATATGGAGAGTCTATGAAAGGGATCTAAACTGGAAGATGCTGAATCCATCCGCAAAGAAAACAGTGAAAGTGCTACCAGATTAGAGTCACATTGCTTGTGTTTTCCCATTGTTACTCTTTCTTTTGCCAGAAGTCCCTGCTCCTACAACTGAACAGAAAAGAGAACTGGCACAGTAGAAACCAGGCCCTTGAGCTCAGTTATACTCACAGGAATAGTGCAGCTGTCAGCATCCCGAGATGCAAATTCCACGTTTCCAAGGTGAAGGATACCAGCAAGGATTCGAAAAATTCCCATCTGGTAGGAATCACTGATCCCTGAAAGAGGATTAATAAAATGTTTTGAGTCTTCACTGAGAGAAATAAAGAACCAAGAGCTGCAGCTGATGAAAAATATTATTAGGAAGAGAGAGAAAAATCACAGAATCACAGAATGGTTGAGGTTGGAAGAGACCTCTAGAGATCATCTAGTCCAATCCCCCGCTCAAGCAGGGACACCTGGAACATGTGGCACAGGGTGGCATTCAAGAGGGTTTTGAAGATCTCCAAATCCCTCTTCACCCTCACCCTACTCCCACTCAGTAGATATTCAGGGGAATACCTGGCAAGGCCACTTACGGTTTGACTTTGTGTGCCTTCTACATACGAAAATACTGCTTAAGACAAATGTTACAAATATCTAAAACAACTCAAACATAATTAAAACAAGAAAAATCAAAACAGCAGCACTTGGGAGTGGGCCTACATGCTTTGTTTCCTTTCTGAGATAAACTGATGGAATTCCATAAACTGATGGAATGAGAGAGTTAATGGAGAAAGATGCACTGAAAAGCAGTGGGAGAAGAACAAGAGGGAGTAGAGAGGTGAAGGCACCGGGGTCGGGCCCTGCTCACAGGGAAACCATGTTTAGACAGACCCTGAGGACAGACATCTGGATGGTAGTGACAGAAATGACCTTGCTACGAAGCAGGGACAGCAACAACTCTCAAATACTGCAGGAGAAGATCTAAAAAAAGGACCAAGCTTTCCTTCTGAATGCATAACTCACAATAATTCTATCTCTTTTCATAATCTTTCAGGAAAATATAGAAAAATTTTGGGGAAATGTAAAGCAAATTAAGGGCATTTCTCTGTAACCTCCAAGACTTTCAATAATCTAAGCGATTCTGATCACTTTATCACTCCTAACCTGCCTTTTTAACCTGAGTTTACCCTTGGGCCTACTACCCCTGTTTACCCTCAGGCCTACTGCCCCTGTTACTACATAATTTTATTTTTAAAACACTTACTAACACACTTCGATCACGAGCGAATGTTTCATTGTAAATCTAGTTGGAACAGTTTAAAGAGTCCACTTCTTATATGTGATTAACAGACCCTGTGGGAATCCTCAGCCATTTCAGTGCAAACTCAGATAACTTGGTCAACTTAAGTGGAATAATTTGTACCAACACTTGCTTTGAACTGAAACTGAACTGGAGCATTCAGACAATCAGTTCCCGCAATCTCCAACCAATATGCAGTTAGCTGCACCATGTGCACCTCCATCTCAGTGCACATGCGAGTGTTTTCCTCCTTTCCTTCAAAAGGATTTTAATGGTAATGTATACAAACACTTTTGTTGGTATCAAAAATTACCTTGACAAAGGTAAAGGAAACAACAAAAATGGGAGGTCTAACCAATTAGAGGAGTTGTCCAACACAGAAAAAAACAGTACTAACAAAGAAGCTATACGGTAGAAAGGTCTGCCATCACAAAATTAAATAATCAGTGAATAGTGTAATGTTACTTGAAAGGAAGAAACTAAACAGGAAAAAGAGAAACGAACAGAGAGAAATGAACAGAGAAACAAGGAATGTCAAGAGGAATTGTACTGGGTTAGTTTAGTCTAGGCCAGTGGAAACTAAAAAAAAAAAAAAAAAAAAGGAAGCTGATATATCCAATTACTAGTAATGGCATGGTGATTACTTATTCTCCACATCAACTTAAGTTGTTAACAACCATAAGAAAGAAACAGTCTCTTTTAGCAAAGAAAAATTAGGTTGGATATCAACAAAGCACTTTCTAAACACATTCAGATCATCTGGATGCTTTTAAAGACAACTGTCAGTGAGGAGTTAGGTATAATTAATGTTATATCGGCTCAGTGGAATGCACTTGAGCTCTTGAACCCTTTCCAGCCCCACTTTCATATTATTCTGACACCTGATGCCCTGGCTTGCCGGTGCTCTATTGAATTTAAACATTAAAAGATTACCGTCTCTAGGAAAGAACAACCCTCATTTGAAAGTGAACAGGGGCACAGAAAAAGTGATTTGAAAACAATTTCACTGAATAGGCTGGAAAATTAATTCCAAATTCAACAGTTACCTTTGCTATCAATTAAATACTCATGTAAACTAGTTAAACACTATTTGTGTCTCAAACATAAGATCTTTCAGGTTGAGAACTGCACCTTTCTCTCTTCACCAGTCACCTGAAATAAATTCAGAATTCCCACTGCCCCTGAGGAGCAGTGCTGAATTACCACTCTTCAGCTGAGCACAGAACGGGGATCAAAAAGCACAAGGAGCAATGACGATGAACCTGTCCTTCCACAGGGAAACAGCTGATCCTGTCAACACAGCTAGATGCACTATGCATGGACTGAAATTACATACCACAACAGACATTTTAGCTATATTATCAATCCCACAACAAACCTGGCATGTCCGATAGAAGCAATCACACTGTCAATGCTTCTACAGTTGTAAAACTCTTCACAGGCTGGTCTGGAAGGGCCTTGACACTCTATACGGCTGATGCGACATGTGCCCACGATCAGGACGATCGGCATCAGCATGAAGGCAACACAGAGAGCCCCGATGATCATGGAAGGGAGTAACAGGGCATAATCATTCGTTAGACTCTCTGCCCAGACCACTGCAGATATATTTTGCAGTTTGTGAAAAAATTGTCACCAGTGTGCATTTTTGCAAAGAATTTGAAAGTCCTTCTTGGCTCCACTTCTATTAACTTTTTAGAGCCAGATGCAAAAAGATCCATTAAAAAACTAAACTATTTAATTTGCTGTTTGGAAGTGCTTTCTCAGTGACTCTTACCGTTGTATAAATTACACAAGAGGGAACCCTGCATTTATTTATGCTCATATAATGCACCCTACTTCTGCTCCAGATATCCAATTCAAGTGCAATTTAAAAACCTTTCAAATGCAATAACAACTTGGTCCCAAAGTTATTCAAATTCTCCTGTTTCTTAAGCAAAGCAGAGTATGAAGAAAAGCAACACAAACAACACTGAAAACACTTGTTAGGACATCAAATTTGGGATGTGATGATGATGTTTAACAGGTTACCTAGCAAAGTGCAGGCCTGCCTGGTGTTTACCATTTCCTTAGCATCATCAATACCATCAATCACTGGGCTTCCACCTTGCTTCGTATAGTGAAAGTAATTTGCATTACCTGTAATACAAAAAAAAAAAATCTCTTACACGCACAAATGTAGAAATTCACCTCATTGCAAGCGCATCTGTGTAAACCTGTATAATGATTAAGTGGCAGAATCCATAGCTTGAAATATCTCAGTGTATTTTTAACTCTGACTCATAGGATCCTACCTATTCTGAAGATTTTTTTTTCTAGATTTAACAATGCAGAGAATTACTCCTAAAGCTGTTTACTGTGATAGACCCTTAAGAACATTCTCTACCCAACCATGTTTCACACTTCCACACCTATGGAATAATCACATGGAAATAATTATTCTGCAAGCCAAGGAGTAAATGCAGAGATGAGAGTAACAATACTTTGTGAGTATATGGCAGACATTATTATCTATTATACATTACTGCATTAAAATTTGCCCTTTTTTAACCTATTTTGCACCTGATTTCTTTTTGTCTCTAATTTATGATCTCAACAGTTTAGCTGGATGATTATCAATTCCATCTGAGAAGACCTGATTGGAGAACTGAGAGCACCACATGACTCTGGGAATAACACTGGGCATCACTGCAAGAGCTTTAATTCTTCTGGATATTGGGTAAAGGGAACATTTCCTATGGGTTTGGTTGTCATTCTTTCAGCTGCATTAACCACCTCTTTTTCTGCTAATCTACCAGGGTTTCAAGAAAGCTAAAAGAGGAGTCTGCTACATGACTTCCTTAGTTACAGTTACATCAGTTCCTTTCTTTCCTGTGTCAGCAGACGACAATCCTAAATGTGCCTAGATGGTATAAAAGAGCAGGGAAATATGTAAAAATCAGAACAAGTATTTCAGAAATCAGCATTCATATATTATGCAGTTTTTCCACTGAGCTTTTAAAGGCATACAGAAAAGCATTGAATTTTCTATTAAATTGAAATAAAACTGATAGGAGCACTGCCTGTCCCAAAGTCATCAAAATGCCTTTGCTTTGGAGTGTCAGTTCCTCTTAAATGAGAAGTACTTACCAAAACACCAGCATTAAAAAAATAAAATAAAATAAAATAAAATCACTCATCCAACTTGTGATTACCAGGCTACCAGAGACGGTAAAATAATTATTGGTAGCAGCACAAATAAAGGTGTGCAGATGCAAAATACTCTATCAACTTTTCAGTTGCTCACACCAGAAATGTCCAATTTTTCTGACAGTTGAAGCCTCAGAAAAAAGAGTTTTAGAGGACCAAGAGAAAAGAATTCTACCCTCTTCACAGGAATAGGACACCATAATCCAGTACACAGTTAATCTTAAGGATTACAATTACAGTGTAATGGTAGTGCATGTTGACATATCAAATCTATTACCTTTGGTTTATTTACAAACCAGAATGTTTGAAATGTTTTGTTTTAGTTATTTTCAATATATTTTAGTGTATGAAGGTTAAAAAGTTATAATTTAAAAGCCAGCAATTCTTCTTTTAGTTCTATGGCTCGGAAAGCTTGGAGATAATACTTTGTACATACCGATTACACAATACAGTGAATGTGAATTTTATACCTAATCGTAGAGTTTTAAATTCAGGTAATGCTGCAGAGGCACAGAGCTGGTAGAAGATGTGGTAATTTCTCTCCTCTTCTGCCTTTAAAAAGAAATGAATTGATTGCATTTTACAATGTAAGATGTACCAGAAACATCCATTTCCTTCTTGATCAATTTAATCCATTTTCAATGGCAAGAGGCATGCAGACTAATTAAAAAAAAAAGCACAATTTTGCTTTTCAGAATTGTGACTACTATTAAATATAGATCTGGATTCTATAGTTGGATGAAATGATCATATTTAAAAGCTTTTCAGTTTCCAAAAATAACTAATCATTTGCCTCAGCATTTATAGTAAGCCAGAAAAGGGAATATCTTTTTTGCCAAGACAAAACTGGGATTTTAAAATGCAGGACAGGCATAATACAAAAAGGATAAGCTTCATAATTAACACTGTAAGTCTGAATTTAAATACTCTTAAGTGTCATAATTTAAAAACAAGCAAGGCTCTTTCAGTTGAATAATACACAAAAAATATCTCTGTAACAGCCCTATACAGTGTCCCTCATTATTATACCTGTTGGCGCTCCAATCTACGGTTAAGTCCATTTTTACTAATCTCTAAACCATAGGGTAGTCAAATATAGGGATGAAGCATAGGAGACAAAATGTTGTTGATTAAGCAAGTTCAAGGAAATCACATATTCTTATTTATGCAAAAAATGGCAGTTAAGAGTGATTTGTAATTATTGTGATAGCAGTGGGTTTTAACAGGAGATTTAAAGGAAGCTAAGACAGCAGCTTTACAAACCACAACAGAGAGCTCCTTTCTGCTCGGTGTGAAGCCCTATTCTATAACACTATGGTATGCACAAACTCTTATCAGTATTGCGCCAAAGTTATTTCATGTTTAAATGCACAGCCTTTTTATAGAGATTTTTACAACCATGAATAATTCTGACTTGTTTTTCCTTCTTCCCTCCACTCCCCACACGAACAATACCACAAATAATACATTATCACAATCTCAGGAGAGATACTTAGTACCACCAGGCAGTAAGTCTTTCAGCATAGTTGCACAAAAATATACAGTAGGAAGATTGTGCCAGTATTACCTGAAATACCACTCTTGATTTTTCCAAGAGGTAAGTTCTCATGTTAGCACCAATAATTCGGTATCTCTTATCAAAACCAATTTCAATGTATTTCCCAAAGCGACTACTGTTGTCATTCCTTGTGGTTTTGGCATTTCCAATAGACTGAGAAAAAAGAATCATGTAGTGGTTAAATAACTTCTAGAAATGGTAATACTTGCCTATTCATCTACATGGCTCATAAGCACTAAATAATATTCATTTTTTCCTGTTTTCAAAACAATCAAGTATATAGTCCTGAGAGGCCAAGGCTAAATGATGGCTCCTGCTTGAGGATGACCTGGACTCCTTGCAACTTAAAGCACCTCACTGCTTTTAGAGGTCCCACCACCATGGACAGCAGACTAGAAACAAGTAAACCTTGAGAAAAGCAAATTACAACACACTGAACTTCAAAGGAAAGCATTTTCTCTTCCTAAAGAGGCTTATACATTAGTCATTGCATTGCAGTTCAGCTTCCAAAAAATCCTAAAGATTCAAAAAGAATGTCATTCGAAGTAATTCAGACAGCACCCTGCCCTTTCTAATATGCCAGTGCATGTAAATTATTAAATATCTAGCTCTAAAGTGTACCAGAACCAAAAAATGCTGAGCTGCAGCTATGTTTTGTTTTTCTTGTTTGAGTACCCATCCTATAGGGACTCTGTTCTGAAATGAAGTTTGAGAAAAACAAGTGAGGTCAAATAGCAATGCTGAAATATCAGTGTTTTGGATATGCAAAAGTCCGGGGAACTCAGTGAGCACTAGCAAGGTACTGTGTAGTAAGCTGGAATTAGATTTTCTGAGCACTCCATTACAGTAATAGCACATATACCTGGCCAAGCAGATGTCAAAGTGGTTATCAGGTGAGCAGTTGCTATAAAGCTTGTAAGCACAAATTGCATCTTTGCAGTTCTAAGAATATGGAATTCTTTCATAGGGAACATATTCAATTTGCATTCAGATGTGTGAAAGCTATTGGTACTGTGATACATTTTCTTGCAGGTAGCAATGTAATATTATAAGAAAGAAAGTAAGAAATCAATTATTACTTTGAAAGGGCCTATTCTAAAGTAGTAAGCTTGCATGTATTTAAAAAAAAAAAAAAAGTTTAAGGCATTGTAAGGATTGCTTACCAGAGTAAATATAATAAGCTTTACAATTTGTATAGCTATACAGCGTGATAAAAAATTAAATACATGAGGTAGTATATAAATACATGCTTTAAGACTTTGACTGTTCCTGTATTTGCAGAAGGAAAATTGGACACTATTGCATACCATTGCATACAGATGCAAAACATCTACCAAGACATTAATTGTCCTGAGCATTTTGTTTAGAATAAGCACTATGTGCACCTTTACAGAACTGAGCTATTTCTCAAAAGGAGTTCCCCCCAGACTGCTTCTCTGTGGCAAATCATTTTTCAATATAGTTCCTCAATTTCAGCTGCAACTTGAATGTGCATATGTAGGCAAGAACACGAACCATAGCTAACAAAGCAATTCAGATGAGCTTGAGAAGTGCTTTGGGCTTGGCCATGAGATCTGAATTAAAATGTCTCCACAGCTTCCTGGAGAAAAAGGGATCCTGAAGCAACAGGGAGCTGTACATGGTTATCTCAGTCAGGTCAACGGCTCTGGGCCTTGATTACAGTAAGTTACACAAAGGTCTCTCTGGAATTGTAACATTACATTCTAAATAATTATTGCAAAGTTACGTCTGCTGTCCTTTTTTTTTTTTTTTTTTTTTCCCCCTCTGCAGCAAGTTGTGTGCAGCCTGTACAACTCTGCTTCCCCAATCTATCTTCCCCAATCACATTTCCTAAAACTGAACATTTGCTTTACTCAACATCTCTCTTCCCCGCAAAATATAATCTACTCACCCTGCATTGCGTAAGGTGGTTTCAGGCAATATAGAATCCTGTTTTAATTCTGTTTTGAACGTTACACACAAAAACATTTTTCTGCACATTTACTCTGTCAACAGTCTTGGAACTACCAGAGTTACAAGGCTGAATAGATTTAAAGTAGCATTCATATAAGAATTACTTTACTATGTGAAATACATTAACAGCCCTAAAAATATTACCTCATCTCTTCTCTCAAACTTTCATCAAATTCTACACAATGCAATGCGCAAAGGACTTCTTGGATAGTCGATGAAAACAATAAAGTTTTAAAATCATATTAAGTCTAGAGCTTAAAATTTAAGGATTATTCTCTTTATTGAATGCTTGTGCTGGTTCCAGAATAGTAATTGCAAATTAAGTTTGATTAACAAGTTAATGCACTAGCTCTCTTACCTCCATTATGGGGTTGGAAGCCAAGACTTTCTCCTCAACATTGGCTTCACTGGCAGACCCACTGACTGTGGCGAAGTATCTCATGGCATACTTGGCAGAGACCGTCTTTCCTGCTCCAGATTCTCCACTTACAATGATTGACTGATTCCGCTCATCTCTGAAACACAGAGACCTGTTAATGACCAGCTGCTCTCTGAGGAAGACTTATTCCGTGTGTCCCCAACTTGGCAGTAACCCTGCTATCATAAATGTTAGCAATACAGGTAACAAATGCACATGGTTGAAACCAGGCTGTTAGTGATCAAGCTTCCTGAACAGCTAATTGGACTCCCTGTGACCATGGCAGAATTGATCTGCCATCGCAGTTCAACTAGTCATTAAGTTTGCTCTAAAGAACCTGCCTACATTAAATTAAATTACCTGTTAGCACTATAACACTACATACTTCTGTAGCTACTTCTAGCCAGCATCTTTGGTATAGTGCTCCACTAAGTTATCAGTGCTCATTAGTAAAGACCATTAATGTCATCTTACAGATAGGGAAATCAACAGCAGGGTCAGCAACAGCAAACTTTCATCCTTCTGATCTAATCATCTGCTTTTGCCAGAATTGCTCTTAAATCTGAAAAATTCAAGCAGTACTATTCAGAGAGGATCCTTTTGTTGTAAATGAACTTATATTCACTTAAAAAGGAAAATCTCCTTTTGAGATCACAATATTTTCCTCTCCTCCCAGAGTCCTATCCATAATCCCCAGACATACAACTAGTAAACAGACTACAAAGTAAGAACAATGGAAAGCAGCATTTATGTATCCTCTTTTGAAGTAAAAAACATACGTATTTTAAGTATTTTATAGTTTCAAAGCAACAAAAAAGTTAAATGAATGATATTTCAAAATACTTCTATGAGTTGGGCAAGTTTTAGTCTATCTTAAACATTGAAAAAATGAAAAAAATAAGAAGATTTACAGAGCTGAGACTAAAACATAAAAAGTGTGTCATGTCCCAAACCAGGCTGCATTTATTGTTCAATAATTCTGAATGAAAGCCAAGGGATGTACATGTTCAGGCACATATATACAGTCTGCACAGCCTCCAAATGCCTACTGAGCCACCAGTAAATGCTATGCAGCCGAGACTGGATGAAGAGATATGCATTAAAAGCTTTTGGGGATTTCTAGAGCCTAAAGGACTTCCAGGAGATTTGGCATTCTATTAGTGAAACTTTCAAAGAGGATGATGATGAAATTATGAAGCTAAATGACAGATCACATTGTTACTCTCAAAATGGAGGCTATCTTCTAAAATTTCCCCAAGCCTCAAGAAAAGCACCTAACTTCAGCATCTGTTCCATATTGCACAAAGATGTAGGATCAAAGCTAAAGGCAGCCACTGGTTATATCACATATCTCTGGGAGAGGCAAGGTATCATGCATTTAACCAAATGAAGCCATTGATTAAAGCTAGTTTTCCACTTTTCGGCATAGAAAATTAATTAAAACGGCTGGATGTTGCCTTAAATTTAGTAGGAAAGTGTTAAGAAGATCAAAGCAACCTCAATTTGTGTTCTCAACTTCCAGTTCACACGTATGGGTAGGTGTGAATGACTACAGCACAGCTCACACATTCACATGCATCAAGCTGTCAGTCTCAGTAGGAAGAAAGCTGTAGGAAAGCAACACTATTCAGCTTGATACCAGGTAACATATAGTCCACTTGCACTGCCAGAAATGCTGTCCTTGTTCCCAGGAAAATGAATTTCCAACCTCTTAAAATATCTCCTTTATAAAGGCAATCAAGCCTCTATCACATCCTCCTGAGTGAGGGCAGAGCTCTGTGCGACAGCCTGCAGTAAAGATGAAGAATCTGCAGCTGGAGCGTAACCCTTCCCTCTTCCTCATTCACTCCTCGCAGACGTTGATCCGCGGCAGATTCACATGCACGAGGGAAAACGTGTAGCTCTGCATTGCAGGAGGTGGCATGAGTTATAGTGATGCTCAGGTTGGAAATACAAGTGGAATGACATGAAAGAAGTCCAGCCCAAAGCTTGACATTTAGGCTCAAACGCAATAACTGGCAATGAACTGTTTTCCTCCCATACAGGCAGTCCCTGCAATGAGTCACAAGCAGAGGACTATTTCTTCACAGGACAGGCAGCTTTTATTCCTCTGTTGCTCTTTTATATAGGAAACAAACAAACAAACAACTCAGCATTGTAAAATATTAAACTTACAGTCTGATTGCAAGATCTGCCTAACACAAAACACTGGCAATGACATGACCAGCTTTTCATTTCTGGATCACCAGCTTTGTTGCATGTATCAAATATCATGAAATATATGAAGACTCATGAAGCTCAAGCCCTATGAAATATGTCCTCTGGTGATTTATCTTATTTTTAGCCTAGTTCCCAAAGTGCAGAGGGCTTTCACACAGCAAAGTAACACAGCCTCGATACTAAAGACTCTAAATCTGCCAGCAGGCTGCTAACTGCTGCCAGGATCGGCACATCAAATAAGCGTCTTGCTCTTATTATCACATCCCTAAAGGACGGTCTCCAAAAGCTGATGGAATATCACACGGCTTCCGCCCACTCCTCCAGCTACAAAGCGTGAAGGAGCATATACAGACAAGAATAGAATTTAATGTACAGTGTTTATTATTGCTATTCCAGGGAACCTTCCAAAAGTGAGTGACTTTTATAGTGTCTTCTGAAACAATTTTGAAATAGATTCTTCATGTTACTGTTTTTAGCAGAAAGCTGGTTAAAACACACTAAATACTCAGTGAACCAAACAAGTTTCAGTAATCCTCCCACCCTCCTGTTTCTGAAGAGGCAGAGTGATCCATTATTATCTTTATACAAAATAAGGGTTTCATTTGAGAAAAACAATTCAGACACACACACCTGTCTTGCTGCCCACCCAAGCTTTCCTATACCAAATTGTCAATCACTGCCCATCTCTCCCTTTACGCATCTAACAGAGCTCAAATGGAGGTACCTGATAACATGACAGACTTGGTAATAAAATCTGCTTCAAAGTTTCCATGAGGCCTTTAACATTTCAAATCAGTCATGCACTGATAAATGCAATACTAAATAACGTGCATGACTCTTCCCTCCTTTCACAATGACATTACACTTTTAAAAGAAGATGAGAAAATTAGCAGAAACCAAATGGTATTAGCTCAAACCAAGTCAGATGCAAGATCATCCAGCACATGTGCATGAACATGCAAACCACACACTATTTTTGTCTGCCATGTGGGCAGCCACCTTCTCAAGAATTTAGAAACAGTAAGAAACTGAGTCTCTGCAGAGTGCTACAGAGAAGGGAGCACCATATTCTCAAGGACAGTAATGAAAAAATGAGAACCAAATGATTTCTCTTAAGAATACTGTTGCAAGTTATGCCTGGAGCTTGGTCATTTTCCCTCCCCAGTGTCACAAGATAGGAAGATTTACTCTTCTCCTGTCCACTCGTTCATAGTTGGTAACAAGGGATCCATTATCAGATTTCTGTTTATATACCTTCTATAAAATAGCCTAGAGAAGACTTGGCTGGCACAACGAGACTGTGTGTGGGCTGAAAAAGTTGCTGCCATCTCTTCTGCAATGAATATTTGTGCTGGCAAAAGCTACGACAGCCAGGAGACACAAAGGCCTCTCTCAGTGTCCGCGCTCAGAGCCCTCCTGCACTGTCCCCCAGAGCTCAATTCACACTCAGAATGACTCTTGTCTTTACAAGTACATTAGTCCATTGTTTTGCTTTAACACACTGCAGCACCATTCTCTAGCACGTTATTCTTTCTGTCTTCTTGGCAGAGAGAGAGCGGAACACAGCATGATGTCCAAGATCCCGCTTGACATTTGGAGAAGGAGAGAGTAGAGCTAACATCCAGAACACAAAAGCAGCAAAGGATGAGCCATTACAGTCACAACGCTTGAAAAGACCTGGCAGATGACCAACAGGCATTGAGATACTACAACAGACAGCGAGATATTATTCTACAAAGAAGCAGGGTGAGGTAGTCTTTCCAGGCAACGGTGACAGTGCTGCACAGGGCTTCTTCCATCACTAAACCTCAAGGAAACAGTGTCCCATTAATTTGGAAAGAAAATAACAACTAAAATAAAACTAAAGTACACTAAATGATATCCACAAGGTGGTGAGAATGCATTTTAAAAGGTTTGGTATAAACAATGATCAGTCTAAAATATAACCATTATTTATGCTAAATGAATTACATGTAATCAGGCCATACTAAAAAAAAAAAAAAAAAATTAAGAACACTGTTGTTGTGCTTTATCCCTTCTTGTGGCTTAAACTCTGGATATATTGCTTCATCTGTTCTGTTAGACTCAAGGCTCTAAAGAAAGCAATATCAAATAGATGCACGTAAGTGCACGTACACACACACACATATACATAATGGCCCGGGAAAACAAAGAGAAAGAATATAGCAGTATTGACATCAATATCCATGTTCATACCAACCCATACTTACCAAAGCTACCAGCATCACCACCTGGCAGTATCTTACAAAAACATGAATTTAAAACATTTTGTTACGGACTTTTTAACCTTTGCCTGTGATGAACTACTTGAAAGCTTAGCCGCCTCAGTGTCACACAGCATGGATGAGATTGACACATGGCCTCAGAGGGAAACCTCCTTGGCACAAAACACAGACTAAATAACACAGTGATCTTGATGAGAAGAGCAGTAGACTTTACTCTGCCTTTGATCCTGAATAATCTATGTTTGTTAACCTCAGGGACAGTGCAGAGGTGCTCTTCTTTTTCAGGAAGCTTCTTGTCAGGATGGTTTGAAAAATAATACCTCCAGGGCATATCCTCCCCTGTTACTCTAGTGCTGAAAGGTTTAATTAAATCTACTGCCATTTTATTAAGGAATTTGCAACTGTTTCTTGTTTTCATTTAGAATAACACCTTTAGGTTATGGCTAAGGGCACCATCCCCACAGCATACGACAGTTTCAATTCTCCCTTAAACAAAAACAGCATAAATCGCTGCTAAAGGCCGGATCCTTCAACCCAGACCTCATACTGCTTCAGTACAAGGCCAAGATCACAATAAACAGCTTTTACTTAACCTTTTTACTTAATGACAGCCTGGCCTACATTATCTCAC